CAGTTGACCAAATTCTCAGCTATTTCACTAGTATTGCTTCTATTCTATCGATTGAGCACAAGAAATCGCCAAGTCAACTGTTTCAACTACAAAATAAAGTGACCGGAAATTGGTAATTTGGCCAATTTAACACAAAGTTCAAAATATTCCAATTTCAAAATAGGGTCCAGAATAAACAATGTAGGTATTCCTGGCACTAAACTAACATTTCCTCTGTTCATTAGTTATGTTTTGAGGCTTTACAAATAAATTCCATTTTGATTTTTTATTCACATAATGAATTTTTATTCACACCAAAAAATAGAAGATTTACTGTTATGCAATATTGTAATAATTGTATAAATATCATCACCACATTTGTGAATGTATATTAGACCCACCAGCTGGCGTGTATTAGACTTGTGAGGTCGTTTGTTTACTCTTGAACATCGGCAAAAATTTAACATTTCCGCCACTTTGAGCTCAATTTCAAGCCATTTCCAGTGCTAACACCAATCAAAATTATCTCTATTTTTGTAATATGTCTTCCATTCTATCAAATGAGACCAAGAAATCACAAATACAACTATAAAAAACATACGAAAAAACACTGCAAAGTCGCTGTTTTAATCGAAAATCATGGTCTCAGTTTTTTTTCTCTCATTATACACAGTGTGCTGCAGGATTTGTTTTATGTGGTGCACACATACCACATCGATGTATTCTCTCATATCTAGGCCCAAATTTACCACTCACAGTTTATCAGAGTGAGCTGAGCTCATGACGTAGATCTACGGTTTGGACCCTGAACGTAAAGCCGTTGATCTACGGGACGGACCCTGAAAGGGTTAAATAATCTTGACTATGGATGATGGAGCAGTGTTCTCTTATTCAAGAACAGTGCAACTCTAAATAATGATCCAGTTGGCCAACTGCTGTGCTCTGCTAGCTACATCATCAGCTTCTAACATAAGTGCCTTTATTGTTTATACTTCACTCTCCATGAGACAAGACATGATAAAGTATAAGATGATAAAGCTCAACCCTGAGCAAAGTGTCGTCTCAATGAAAACTCATTCGGCATATTTTTTTAAACTCATACAGTAAAACAATAAGAAAAGCTCACCAATGTTATCCAGTCATCATGTGAAGCATAATAAAAGTAAAGCAGGTATACAGTAATCAGAAATATGAAGGATTTATTAGGTTTTGCAAACTATTATTTTCCAGATCTTTCATGATCACAACTATTTTAACATTTTAATTTATTAGAAAAATCTCCAGTGATTAAAAAATACTGCACCAAATAGCTAAGCATACAAATATATATTTCACACCCTTAGTATCCATTATGGACGCATTCCACGAGAGAATCATGATGAAATCACTGATGTGGAATTTCAAACCATGATTCAGAGTGGTAGTCAAGCATTATGAGCTACTTTGGGTAAATTATATCTATAATACACCTGTGACTGGTTTTAAGAGTTTATTTACTCTTGTAGCCTGGTCTGAGGCCAGGCTTTTCTGTTGATTACCTGGTCAACTGGGCTGTTGCTATTAGCAGCCTGCTGGCCCAAATGTCCATTAGCGGCCTGCTGGCCTAAATGTCCATTAGTGGCCTGCTGGCCCAAATGTCCATTAGCAGCCTGCTAGCCCAAATGTCCATCTAAGCTTGGTTGATTTAGAATATGACTGAGGTAGTGATCCAGTTTCCTCTTGAAAAGTAATGGATTTGTTCCAACAATATTTCTGATATCTGCTGGTAGCAGATTGAATAGTTTTAGACCACAAATGTTGGCACATTCTTCTCTTATTATATCCATGGTTTCCCTGCTTTTCACCTGGAATATTTTTATGCTTCTACCCACATCTATCACTCAGTACATTGTTATAGTAGTGCAAATTTGGGACTATGCATTCAAGTATCTTCCCTATGTAGATTTTCTCAAATCTACTTTCTAGCCCATGAGTAGTGCCTTCCTCAGCTGCCAGGCCAAAATTGATAAAATCCCATCCCAGAATTGCTGGACCTTGTAGACATTTCCAGTACATCTAGGCAGGCCCAGTATTTTAAATGTTTTATTGGCTCTTTGTTAGTAGTAAATGATCACAATATCTTTTCAGGCTCTGATATCTCTCCTGCTTCAAATGGAGCTGTGAACACTGACAAGCACTCAAAGCAAGAGAGCACATATGATTTGAAGTGTCATCATTGGCATTATTTCTCGTTTTGAAAGCTCTTGTTATAGACTGTCATTTTTCTGACCTTTGCAGCATTGGCCTTTGTGCTCTATAAATAATAAAGCAGCTGACATTATTAAACCCAATTCATCCACATCTGCCATGCAGATGAGAAACAGTAAAGGCACCAGAACCGTGTCTTGGGATACTGAATGTTTTTACTTGACTAAGGCTAGGTTTATTACTATTCATTGTGTTCTGTTTGTCAGAAAATTGAATATCCATTTACCTACTTTTATTGTTGTACCTACTGACCTTATTTTATTAGCATCCACTCCACGATCATGTTTATCAAATGCCTTTGTAAAGCCCTTGTAAACCACATCAGCAGCTTGGTTTTCTTTGAAAACCTCTGTAATTTTTTTGTATAATGGTTTAGCAGCTTTGATAAGTGTGATCTTTCTGTTATAAATCCATGCTGACTTAGGTTATGTAAGTCATGCTTTTCTATAAACTTTGTAATTTTGTGTCTTGCCATCCTTTCTAGGACTTTTTCTATGTCTGCATTTTTTAATGCCTCTGGGATTTTGCCTAGATCTAAGCTCTTTTTTCCAAAGAATACTGGGTGTTTGTGCTAGTGGTATTTTGCACTTCCTAAATAAGGAGCTCCATGAATTTGGCCCAGGTGCTGCAAGTGTGGACATGAAGATATATTTTTTTTTATTAACACATCAGCCAATTCCCACCAAGGTTGGGTGGCCCGAAAAAGAAAAACTTTCACCATCATTCACTCCATCACTGTCTTGCCAGAAGGGTGCTTTACACTACAGTTTATAAAACTGCAACATTAACACCCCTCCTTCAGAGTGCAGGCACTGTACTTCCCATCTCCAGGACTCAAGTCCGGCCTGCCGGTTTCCCGGAATCCCTTCATAAATGTTACTTTGCTCACACTCTAACAGCACGTCAAGTATTAAAAACCATTTGTCTCTATTCACTCCTATCAAATATGCTCACACATGCTTGCTGGAAGTCCAAGCCCCTCACACACAAAACCTCCTTTACCCCCTCCCTCCAACCTTTCCTAGGCTGACCCCTACCCCGCTTTCTCTCCACTACAGATTTATACACTCTTGAAGTCATTCTGTTTCATTCCATTCTCTCTACATGTCCGAATCACCTCAACAACCCTTCCTCAGCCCTGTGGACAACAGTTTTGGCAATCCCGCACCTCCTCCTAACTTCCAAACTATGAATTCTCTGCATTATATTCACACCACACATTGCCCTCAGACATGACATCTCCACTGCCTCCAGCCTTCTCCTCGCTGCAACATTCATCACCCATGCTTCACACCCATATAAGTGTGTTGGTAAAACTATACTCTCATGCATTCCCCTCTTTGCTTCCAAGGACAAGGTTCTTTGTCTCCACAGACTCCTAAGTGCACCGCTCATGCTTTTTCCCTCATCAATTCTATGATTCATCTCATCTTTCACAGACCCATCTGCTGACACATCCACTCTCAAATATCTGAATACATTCACCTCCTCCATACTCTCTCCCTCCAATCTGATATCCAATTTTTCATCATCTAATCATTTTGTTATCCTCATAACCTTACTCTTTCCTACAATCATTTTTAATTTTCTTCTTTTACATACCTTACCAAATTCATCCACCAACCTCTGCAACTTCTCTTCAGAATCTCCCAAGAGCACAGTGTCATCAGCAAAAAGCAACTGTGACAACTCCCACTTTGTGTTTGATTCTTTATCTTTTAACTCCACATCTCTTGCCAAAACCCTTGTATTCACTTCTCTTACAACCCCATCTATAAATATATTGAACAACCATGGTGGCATCACACACCCTTATCTAAGGCCTACTTTTACTGGGAAATAATCTCCCTCTTTCCTACATACTCTAACTTGAGCCTCACTATCCTAGTAAAAACTCTTCACTGCTTTCAGTAACCTACCTCCTACACCATACACCTTCAACATCTGCCACATTTCCTCCCTTATCCACCCTGTCATTCGCCTTTTCCAAATCCATAAATGCCACAAAAAAACTCTTTAGCCTTATCTAAATACTGTTCACTTCTATGTTTCACTGTAAACACTTGGTCTACACACCCCCTACCTTTCCTAAAGCCTCCATGTTCATCTGCTATCCTACTCTCCAACTTACTCTTGTCAGATATATGGCAAACAACCATCTGAATCTTCCACTGTCATTCAGTGGATTGTTGAACATTAATTCAATCAATTACTGTATTACTTTATTTGCATTAATATTCTAGCCATCACATCTAGTTTTGAAGATGAGGCTGATTGTAATACATTATCTTGCAACTTAATTCATCACATTATTTCTTTAAAAAGTTTAAGGCTACAATGGCAGACATTTGTCAAAAATGCTTGCAAAATGGAAAGAATATTATTATTGAAAAGCTTCATACAAGAAAATGAGGTAAACTTATCTAGAAAGGAAACATGAGGATAAGGAAAGGACAAATGTCTTAAAATATACAAATGTTTAAATTATTATAAGATACTGCCAGTCAAGTAGTAGTTTTATAATGAAATCAAATGCTTTTTCTTTACATCAGCTGTTTCCTACTAATGCAGGCTGACTGAAAGAAGGAAACACATTTACCATAATTTATTTGATAGCTGTCTTACCAGAAGTGCATAGACACAATTCAAATGATCCTCTGAACTGAAACATCCTCATCTCCACAAAGGCATTAAATGTTCTTGAAGATTTCATCACTCAGTGCTTAGGCAAAATAATGGCAAGTTTTAATATAATTAATATAAATGAGACATACCTTGAATGACTAGTGCATAGCTTTCTTCAAAAACGCCGCTGGGTGTTGTAACTGTACACCGATAAACACCACCATTATCAGATTGCACGTTGACAAGTCTGAGGACGTTGCCTTGAGTTTCTGCATTGGATGGAAGACCTGAGTTTCTTCTTGACCAAGATACAGCAGCAGCTGGTTCTCCACTGACTTCACATACAAGCTCTACATCTTCACTGATGCGCACATTTGAACGGCTAGGACGGATTCTGATGTCCACAGTCTGAAGTCCTGCATTATACATAAAGTATTTCAGTTATTTATTCATTCACTGTATATATAGGAAGTAACCAGCATGACTACACACATCCAAATTCCTCGTACAGTAAACCATTAGTTAACATGCAATGTCTTATCACTTTTTTGCATTAACACAGTGGCAAAATTGTGGCATGTTTTCAGTGAACACACTGTATTAGTCACTTTACATGGGGCAGAGTATATGTAGGAAAAATGTGGCATGTGCCAGGTTCTTTTCCCTCCATCTTGCAGTGAGCGTACAGGCAAGTCCACTCACTGTTTCATAGGGGAGGCCTACATAATGTACAAAACTTCCCTCGCCTCATCCCTTCTCACCTCTGGATAGTAACCAAGGCACCCAAGAGGAATGTGAGTGATCCTGGAAGTGCAAAGAAGCATAATCATGAAAGTCTTGGTGTTAAGAAAATTGAGATCCTCGATAAGCTTTAAAGTATTGTCAAGGGCTGTTTCGGCTTGTTACTTTGCAGTAATGCATCAGGCAATTTTAAGTGTAAGCCCATGGTTATTTACCCCTCCAAGATTCCCTGTGCTTTGAAAGGTAAGGTATAACCACCTCACCAGTTATTTGGAGCTCAACCAGTCATCATGGATGACAAAGGAATTATTTATTGACTGGTTTAAGCATCACTTTATTCCCAAAGTTATGTTTACCTGCACAGCGAAAACCTTGCATTCAAGATTCTCTTTACTCTTGATAATTCGTGTACTCACCCAAAAGTTTTGGTAGATGTGCATCCACATGTAAAAGTTGTGTTTTACCACCAAATATAACATCTTTAATAGTCACTGGATCATGAAATTATTAGGTCATTCCAGCAAGCGTGCATGAGCGTGTTAGATAGGAGTGAATGGAGACGAATGATACTTGGGACCTGACGATCTGTTGGAGTGTGAGCAGGGTAATATTTAGTGAAGGGATTCAGGGAAACCGGTTATTTTCATATAGTCGGACTTGAGTCCTGGAAATGGGAAGTACAATGCCTGCACTTTAAAGGAGGGGTTTGGGATATTGGCAGTTTGGAGGGATATGTTGTGTATCTTTATACGTATATGCTTCTAAACTGTTGTAATCTGAGCACCTCTGCAAAAGCAGTGATAATGTGTGAGTGTGGTGAAAGTGTTGAATGATGATGAATGTATTTTCTTTTTGGGGATTTTCTTTCTTTTTTGGGTCACCCTGCCTCGGTGGGAGATGGCCGACTTGTTGAAAAAAAAAAAAAAAAAAAGTGCAACTATACACGAGTGACGTGGAAACTTGCTGCAGCAATGAATACCGACTCCAAGCTTGGAGTGACAGACTTCTGTCATAAAATTAACATAGCAGATGCCATCAGCTACTTCAAAAGTGCATGGAGCGAAGTACCCAATAACATTAAATGTAGGCTGGGAAAAGTTATGGCCTAGTGTGGTGAATGCTTTTACAGGTTTTCCCTCATTTGAGAGCCAGGTCCAGGAAAATGTTCAGCTGGCAATTAGATTGCCAGATGAGGGCTTTGAAGATATGCAGGAAGATGATGTGAATGAACTGTTAGAAGATGATGAGGAAGAAAGAAGTCTAGAGGAAATGTTGGCAGAGTTCAATGCCCAGATTCAAGAGAGGCAGATAACAGACGAAGATAAGGAAGAACACCATGAAGAAAAACAGTTAACATTGCAACAGTTATGTGAACAGCTCTATATTGATAAAGTTGTAGATTTTTTCACTGAAGAGGACCCTGATAAATCTAGAAGCACTGTTTTGAAACAGGAGCAGCTGTTGAAACCTTACTGTCAACTGTATAAAGTAGTACTGTGAGCAAAACTGACTAAAGCTCATTACACAGTTCCTCAGTATACCAGTACAATTGTCAGCATCAGTGAAGTAACCTTTGCCAAAGAGCCATACCTTTCCACGTCAGCCCAATAATCGATAGAGCAAAAGGAATAATAGTGAAATAGCTAAGAATTTTGTTGAATGGAGTAATGGAGTTGATTTAAAATAGGACTCAAAGTGGGTGAAATCAAAGATGTTTAACACGGACCCAGACTGCTAACTATGCGCCTGCATAATTCCATATCTTTTTCCATTAAATTCCATACTTTTAATGTCATTACCTTCAAAAAAAGATCCTCTACTCGAAACTGGAAACAATATAAATTTGGGGGATCTGGACAGTTAAAGGATTAAATAGATAAGCTTTATAATAAAAAATTTAATTAACATATAGTTTTACAAATATACTTTTTTTTAACTGCTGGGTATATAACTCCCTAATATATTGGTTTCGAAAGGATAGAATTAAATATTGTACTTGCCATGAAATTTACTCATAAAAATCAAGTTTCTTTTACTAATTACAAGAAGCAAACAGGAAAAAAAAGATCTTTGCATGCAAAGAATGTTCCCATATATTATTAGCAATGATGCATTTTTATTTAATGTTTATGATGAAGCGTGGTACTGTCATGCATGTTAGTAAGCAAATGCTGGGACTCACTTGTCACAGTGAGCGTGATGACATCAGATCTGGGGTATCCAGAGGCAGTCAAAGCTTCACACTGATATCTACCACTGTCTTCTGGCTGGATGAAAGGTAGTCTGAAATAGATTTTTTTTTATAAATTTCAATCAAATGCACAAATATAAACAGTATTTAATGTCTTCTTTGTATATATGATTGCAAAAAGGATTAGCCACACCTCTGAATTCACATGCATCATAACCCTATTATACACATTTTACTAATGACCATTTAGTGCATAGCCTTGATTATTCACATTTTTGCTTGGTGCCCCATTGTCTTTTTTGCTTGGTATGTTATCTCTAAATTGTTGCTTAGCACATTACCCCTAAATTGTTACTTGTCACATGACCCCAAATAACCCTGAATTGTTGCTTGGCACACAACACCTAAATTGATGCTTGGTACACAACCCCTAAACTGCTGCTTGGCACACAACTTCTACACTGTTACTTCGCACATGATCTCTAAGTTGAAAAAATAACCATACAGTTTCATTCAAAATGTGCTTTTTTTTTATGAGTGTCAATGTTAAACAGCTTAAAGCAAAATTTAATACTCTTTTAACACACCAGCTGTCTCCCACTGAAAAGTGACCTAAAAAGAAGAAACATTTTCACCATCACTCATTCAATCACTGTCTTGCCAGAAATGTGCTTACATTACAGTTTAGATGACCCTCTTAATTGCAACACTCCATCTCTTCTAGAGTGCATTCACTGTGCTTCCCACTCAAGTCTGGCTAACCAGTGTCCCTAAATCCCTTCATAAATATTATTTTGCTCACACTCCTAAAGCATGTCAAGTCATAAAAACCACTTGCCTCTACTCCTATCTAACAGACTTACACAATAATTAAGACACATAAAATTTTCTTTTATCTGTGACTTCAAGATTCACATCATCTCCAGAACCCTAACTCCTGCAAATTGAAGACTTTTCTCATGATGTGTTTTGCGTGCTTCATTTCATACAAATCTACTAAATACAAAACACCTAGGTACTCCTTACATGCATTTAGAACTTTCCTAACAATGCTGACAACAGTGATTCTTAGGTGTCCCGTAGTTCGATTGCTAGCACACTCAGCTCACACACTGAGGTCCCTGGCTCGATCTCTGGTACAGGTGGAAACATTAGGATGCATTTCCTTAAGACACCTGCTGTCCATGTTCACCCATCAGTAAAATATATACTTGGGTGATAGTTGACTAGTATGGGTCGCATCCTGGTGACAAAATTGACCTAATTTTCTGCATAAACAAGGGCTTTCTATATATAGTGGACCCCCGACTTATGATATTAATCTGTTCCTGAGAGCACATCATATGACGAAATTATCGTAAGTCGAATTAATTTTCCCCATGAGAAATAATGGAAATCAAATTAATCCGTACAAGACACCCAAAAGTATGAAAAAATTTTTTTTACCACATGAAATATACAATTTCCTACACACAAAAATTAGGATACATGCACAATATATATTGTGCATGTACTACTCTACTAAATGAAGAATAAATGACACCTTTATTGAAGATGCAGCAACGACTGATGAGACACTGTGTCCTGGGAATGCCTCTTCCTCCTGAGTAATGTAGGTTCTGTTTGGCATTTTCTTCCAGAACACGCCTTATCACACTGTGTATGCCACTACGATTCTTAAATCTCTCAAACCAACCTTTACTGGCCTTAAATTCACCTATATGAGCACTAGTTCCAGGCATTTTTTCCTGTTTACCTGGGTGTTAGTCAACTGGTGTGGGTCGATTAAGGACCCCAATGGAAATAAGTTACAGTCCTCGATGACACACTGACTTTTTTGGGTTATCCTGGGTGGCTAACCCTCTGGGGTTAATTGTTTCTCGGTATTCTCGATAAGCCACACCAACAACGGTGCTACAGCAGCAGCAGCAGCTGATGGTGCTACAGCAGCAGCAGCAGCTGACAGTGCTACAGCAGCAGCAGCAGCTGACGGTGCTACAGCAGCAGCAGCAGCAGCAGCAGCTGACAGTGGTACGATAGTACATATTTCGATAATATTTCTCACCTTTTTTACCACAGGGTTGGCACTAGAAGCTTTCTTTGGGCTCATGGTGGCTTATTTAGCAGTTAGAAGCACTAAAAACACTGGAATAACACAAAATATTCCGAATGTATGCGAGGGAGCGACCACTTTGGCTTGTAAACATTGGCACACTAACTGAAGGCAGGCCAGTTGAGGCGCACTCAGGCGGACAGACATGTGGACGTGGTACTGGACGAATGCTGTAGGGCGAGTTTCTCAACGTTCATCGGGGTCAAATTTTTACGCTGAAAAGCATCGTAGGTCGGTTTTAAACTAGGTTGGGGGACATCATACGTCGGGGGTCCACTGTAGTAGTATGCCACTGATGTCAGCTAGACCTGTATACATTGCACATGTACTTGTAAAAGTAAAGATTATTATTAATATTATGATTTTTTGTTCGCCTATATTATTTTATTATTTATGCAACCACTTACAATATATAATTATTCAACAAAGGATGAGTCAGTACCTGAGAAGATTGCCACGTGCTATAGCGCCAGGAGGGAGACGTCCACCAATACGACTCCATCTAACATCATTAGGGTTAATTCCTGAAGTTTCACAGCGTAGTTCTGCTGTCTGACCAACATACATTACAACATCCTGCTGAATTGCTGCCAACAGTGGTTCTTCTGTAATATAAATTATAAAGGTTAGTAATTTAAGTCAAATATCATAGGGAAATTAGGACATTAGAGGAGATGTTATGATAATTAGTTCAGCATTAACTGAAAAATGGTTAGAGATTAAAGAAGCTAGAGGGGTTGCTAATAAGATTCCTAAGCATTCCCATATAGTTTCCTTATTTTAGACATTTCAGAAATTCAGGACAGTTTACCTTGTTAATAGGCACTTATATGGAGTGTAAACTGTAAATTACACATGCAAGAACCTACATGAACATCCTGGGGTCAACTCATTTGATTTTCCAAAAATCCATTCAAAAGGTTGGCCACAAATATAAAGATGAATGTTTGTTGTAGTTCATTCCTGATAGAGACAAGCTTACATATTATAAATAATATTTTAATACCTTCCAATTTTATTTAAATTTAATACAGAAAAGCATTACAAGCAATAATAATGAAAAATTATAATATTAACATTTTTCAAATTATTAAAGAAAGAAATCCCCAGATAACGTGTAATTGCACCTAGTAAGCAGTAAGTGTTATACTTCAAAAAATACATCCTGAATAGTTAAATTATATTTATATTGCATGTTATGTTGCAGTATGACCCAGAATACACTGCCAGTACTAACTATTAAGTGACACTAACAAATGTATTTTCAACACGGCATCGTTTTATTCAGTAAACATTATATAATTATCCAGATCTTGTGAATTACTGTTGGCTTCATTTATACTTTTAGTCTACTGGCAATGTACATCATGTCAATATGTTTACATTAGATAAACAATGTTTGATACTATTTTGTAAGTGAAAAACGGAACACCACTGAATGTAAAATATTGGGTAAATATTTTGTGGAAAAAAAGTAACTGAAACTAGATAATAAATATCATGGATTGGGAACATACCTTTGAATGTAACATGTGTTTCTGTGGGGCAAAAGGTTCTGAGTGCTGAACAGTCAGCTTACGAATTTTCAGAAATACGTTAACGTTTTAAGGTCATTGCCCTATTGTAAGCTCCTAAGATAGCTTTTGAGATAAATCATGTCACAAGAGTTGACTCACCTAACCATCCACACCAACTGCATACACACCCATCCAGTTACATACACTAGGCCACATGCATTACATTGCCACCCACACCATCATCACTGCCTTCACACCCCCCCCCCCCTCCTCGCCCACATCCCTCTACTGCCCAGCATCCTCCATTGCCCAGTATCAACCTCCAGCTCCTGCCCCTACTGCTCAGTCTCTACTTTCCACAACAGCACTACCTCAGTCCTCACCCCCACAGTGAATTCCATCCACCCCAACCCCTCTCAACCCTTCCTTTGTACACCTAAACTTCCACACCCCAATCACTTTAACCCCTCCTTGATAACTTTCACACAGTTGCAAAGAGTGGGACAGCAAAAAAATAGGCACCTCTCTCCGTTAGTAGAGCTGTGGATGCAGGATCTTTGACTGACACACACAACCATATCAACCTACAATTTTATTAAAATTTTTTACAATTTTGAGAACTAAAAACAATGGGGAGGGGGGAGATTTTTTTTATGTTCCTCAGTTATTTTACATGAGCTTTGATTACACACCATTTTTAGGAATATAACTACAGCCTCTCCTCACTTAGCGATGTATTTGTTTACCGACAACTTGGACTTACAATGGGCTCTCTGACCAGTATGCATATCTAAATAATGTATATTAGAGCTGATTTCCTCTATTCTGTTTATTACAATATACAGTACACTACTGTATAAACATTTAAAAATATACCAGAAATGTTATAAATGGTGCAAAGGTGACATTAAAACAATATCAAAGATGGTTGACACAAACCCACTACCATTATAGTATGCTCCTCACTTAGTGACAAATTTGTTTACCAACGTGGTCTTAGGAACGGAACTCTGTCATTAAGTGAGGAGAGGCTGCACTGTGTTAACTAATGGTCAAAAGTATATGGTAATATATGCATGGAAAGGTGCTTGTGGGCCTTGTCTGAAATCAGCATTCTGTCATAACAACATACTGGAGTGAGACGTGTGAGAATGTGTAAAATAAGTCCAGTCTAGCCCCACAGATGTATCAACATCCATGGGTCTAGAACCTCATCTGCTGTATAAGCAGGGCCCTCATGTACTTAGAAAAATGTCATATAGACAGTAGTTGTGGTGGTGGTGTGAGGAGGGAGGCAGACCAGAACCCACTTATGATTAGGCAAACACTTTTATGATGGTACTCAAATGCCTCATCACTTTAAAATGGATTTCTCAAGATGTCTTAACCACTAACATATTTGTGTTTGAGGCTTCTAAGATTGATAAAAATGCAGTCACAGGATTCTAATAATGTGTTTTACTTTTCTCAAACACTGATTGCCTAAAGTTCCTGATAATAATAATTATCTTATATTTCTACAAAACATAACAATTCACAGTCTTCTAATATATTAAAATGTTCTGCATTTTTAAGGTCTTTTGTGCTCACATTTGCAAAAATACAAAAATCATAACCCCTAAATACATATACATATCTTAAAAAAATTGTACATTAACAATATGAAATACCATTTTATTTTATGCTTAACAATATATGATCAACATACAGAGTTCGTACAGGTGCTTGCAAACCTTGGCAAATAATGTTAATTGAAAACGAATACTGACAATGAGAGCCTTTGATGGTTTGAAGAGAGTGAGTGCTTGAAATATCTTGCAGGTAAGCAAATAGACTTACCATACTTCACTGCAGAAGAAAATATTAAAGATATGAACCAATGCACACTTATGCACAATGTTTGAGGAATGTGCCAGGCTCTCTCCAGTCAGTGGGGATATTAAAAGTCATTTAAAACAAGGCTTGGAAACTAATTTGTGAAGCCAGCACAAACCCTGACACATTACAACATCAGACAAAACCAACAATGAACAATTAGGTCAGTAATCAAGAAGAGTTCCCCAATTTATTACCTTACAGACATAATATTCAATACTTACAAATGAACTTAATACAATCAAATATTAGCCTGCCTCATTACCATGAATAACATGTCTTCTACGCCGGAAACAAATTTTCTCATCTTTGCAGTCATTACAGTCACACTGGCCATCACAGTTGAGGTAGAAGGAATAGCAGGAACCATCGCCACATTTGAAGAAGTCAGAGCACTTACTTACGTCGAATATATTATCTGAATTCAGATAGAATAATGCTGTATAATAATTAAATAAATTGGTAACAAATATGTAAAATAATAATTTCAAAATACAGTGGAACCCTGGTTTTCGTCTTTAATCTGTTCCAGAAGGTCAGCTGAAAACCGATTTGTACGAAAACTGAAGTAATATTTCCCATAAGAAATACTGTACATCCAATTAATCCGTTCCAGACACCCAAAAATGTTAACAAAAATTACATTGTATAGAAAATAACTATAGTTTTACATACAGAAAACAATGAGAAATAAATATAAATGGCTAATGAAATGGATAAATGAACATTTAACATCACACGTACGCCACTTTCGTATTTTTCTACGAGTTCTTTCTCGAATTCTATTGTGTTTTCCACCTTCTTTACCAAAGGGAACTTTCTTTGGCCCCATGGTGGCTTATTTAGTAGTTGCAAGCAAAATAAACAATGGATTATTACAAAATGTTTCGGATGAATGCACGGAGTAATGCTTACTGAATGAGTAACAAAGGCAGACCGAGTCACGAACACATGAGCTGCCGCATCCTGCGGGCAGGCGGACGGATCTGGTACGGACAATTTCCGAGTGGATGTATGAAAACGGGGAAAATTTCGCCGAAAAAAGTGACTGAAAAGTGAAGTGTACGATAACCGAACCGGACGAAAACCGGGGTTCCACTGGAAAATACTACAGTACTTTGAAAATGAGTTAAACATGGTAAATTTTTATGCAATGTACCTGAGAAAACTGTTTCTAAATAATATCAGTATTAACCAATATATACTGTATAGGTATCTCTAATGCTTTATTTCTGAGGTCTTCCCTTTTTGAATATGATAAAAGAAACATCATCAGACTTCTTTGTTTCGCTTACATTTTCTTTCATGATTCTCTTCCTATTATTAGGATGTAGACTAGTTCTCTTCTACCCCTGCTTGCCTCTTTCATACATATATTATGATCTTGACACTAAATATTTTTCAGCAATTCAAAATCTCTCTTGTATATATTGCAAAGGTATATTCATACACATTCCAATAGTAACACTGACTTCTTCATAATCCTTAACAATCGATGACATACAGTGTTTCTCCCACTGCATTTCCCATTATTTTCACTTTCATTGTCCTATCAGTGATACCAAACTTTTCCATCAGTCACCACTCATCCCTTCCCTTGAAGACTGATTCCTTTCCATATGGGAAATTATGATCCTTGTTGAGGCCTTGAACCACACTATAGTAGCTGGAATTTTCCTTGTCAGGATATCTGCAGCCTGAGAAGGCTCAGCTGAACAATGCTTTGTGCATTTGTCATGTGTAAATGCCTATACAGTATTTTTTTTTCCCCACTCACTTGGAAATGGAGCCAACTCTTGGAGCTGTGGACATTTGGGAGGGAGGGGAGGGAGGGAAGGGGGAGCAACACACATTTAGTGTGTGGCTAGACGTAAAAGAGGATGTTCAGTATTAGCACTATATGATTTATTTGACTGGTCATGCATGTTTCCTTTGTGGTTTGCTGGTGGGTTTCAAACGGGTCTACTAATATACTTAATGCTCAGAACTGCAGCCCTGTGAATTTGTGGATTTGCAGACCCCACAGACTGAGTCTGAGTAGCAATGAGTGGCTCTTGTCTTGCAAGCAGTTTGCATTGGGGTATTGTATTTGGCTAGGGTCAAGCATCAGAGGGTGTACACACACTTGCAAATACCTCTCCATTAGCTCTGGGACTTATTTATGTATCTATTGTTTCTGCTTCCCAATCTCTGAAGTGGATGGGGAGATGGAAAGATGAATTTTTTATATTACTGCTCGTATCCATTCTAAGACTCGTCAGGTAGGTGACCAGGCATACAAATCACCTCAATCTGGAAGATCTCTTGACAGCTGTCTCTGGAGCACATACTGCCTCTGTTTAATCTTAAATTCACACAAAGGAGGGCCCTCACTGGGTCCCATTAGCTTTAGGGTTTGCTTTCCATAATGAAAGCACAGATACAAATAGGGTCAAGCAAATTAACTATGTACAATGAAATTTAGTGCATACAAGTTACTTCAAAATTGTAAAGTTGAATAATTCTTGGAATATTAGCAATAAGGACTGACAAATATGAACACTTTGTTAGTGCTGTGCTCAGTGACAGTAACTGTCAGATTTCTTTCTAAACACTGCATGGCCAATTTCTTGTCATGTGCTTTCAGTTTGCTTTATTTTCTTTGGGTCAGGTCTCTTTGTGACTTATGGTTACCAGTTGGAATTTTTTCATCCTGTTACCATTACATGTCTTTGACTCAGAAAGCTTCGACCCACATGGAACCTCAGTCTAGTAATGTCGTCTTGTTTTGCTCATTTTCCATTGCTATAGACTCTGGGTGAACAAGTGACAATGATCTTAGTGATAGCAATCATTCCTCATTATATTAGCTCCCACTCCTCACATTAATAGTTTGAGGGTAACAAACTGGGCATTCTTTATATGACCCTCTATTCTTTATCTCCCAATTAACACTTTGGAAAACTGTTATATTTCCATCTTATTTTTTTTCAGCTACCTTAGTTGCTATTCCACAAACCCAGAAGAAACAGTCTCACAAGTGTGTACCTTGCTGCACATCATAATATATTAACATTTGTAAAGATAATACTGTACAATTTATTTACTTCCCAATTCCAAACAAAGTCACTTACCATGACAATTTACTTCATCAGCAGCATCATTACAGTCAGGTATACCATCACATATCTTGTGTGTAGGTATGCAGACTTTGTTGCCACAAGGAGAGTCGATGCAAGCTACCACCACAGAAATATCACAACAGATGAATTACAATATCTACTTCGACATTTTAAACACATCTAATTCTTTATACATTCTCTCAAAATTTATTCCTTCCCTTAATGATATGTGAATGGTAATTTAGCAGTATAATGCAGGGGTACATTCCATATATCTAAAGATAAATACATCAAAACAATGAATTACACAACTCTCAAGATTATTTGCATACCTAGAAGATATGAAAAATAGTTACATAAAAAAACAGTACAGGTGGGGTTAGAACCCATGGCAAGTGAGTTGTAAAAATCTAGGCCAGTGTGTAAGCCACTGGGTCAGCTGGCTACACTAAGATTCATCCAACTAGGTAATATTTATACACCATAGGTTAACATGGACCCCACTATGACCACAAATGCAAGTCATGATGACTTTGAGGGGAATGGAGCTAGAGTTTGTCACGGCCAAAATGCTAGAGTTTGTCACGGGAGATTCATCTGTAAAAACTTGCATGTGTGGTCACAGTCGGGCCTATGCTAGCCTCTCTATGGTGTGTAAATATACCTAGTTGGATGAATCTTATTGTAGCCAGCTGGCCCAGTGGCTTACACACTGGCCTGGAGTTTTATGACTCACTTGCCATGGGTTCTAATGCCACCTGTACCACTGTTTGTTTGAAGTCATGTTAATAGTTACATACACAGTATGACTCCAAATTTCCAGATATCCAGAGTTCCAAAAATTTCAGGAAACAGATATTACATCAAAATTCCTACTCTTCAAATAAATCCAGTAAAGTAAAATCTTGATTATATCCTAACTATTCTGACATTGGCTGACTATTCATAAACTGTTGAATATTCTAGTATAGACCATAAAATCACTTGTCAAGAAGTTATTACTAGATGTATGATTACTACCAGAATGAGGCTGCAAGAATAATTTTTTTTCCATAATACTGTGGTCAAAAACAGTGATTCTAGAGACTACTTTAAACCTTTGAGAGATGACAGGTAAATGCAGCAAAATATGTAATCACTGGGGTACAATGTCTGAATGACTCAAGGAAAATGGAAACATATTTTGCAGATGGACTAAATTTTGAGTATACCAGGTAAATTATGTATATGGTAGAGTTATTACTGAAAGAATTAAAGGTAAGGCACAGAGTAGGATTGCAAATGAACACAGAAGTTTTAGGATGGGTAGGGGATTTATAAACCAAGTGTTTGCATTGTAGCATATAAGTGAATAATATTTGGATAAAGGTAAGAAAGTTTTCGTTGCATTCATGGATTTAGAAAAGGCCTATGAGAGGATGGATAAGAGTGCAATGTGGCAGATATTGAAAGTGTATGGCATAGGTGGTAGGTTACTTAAAGCTGTTAAAAAAAAAAAAAATTCTGCTAATTTAAGCCCTATTTCAAGCTAATTCTGGCCCTCAAACTGACCGAAATCATCTCTACTTCAATAGCATGTCTTCCATTTTGTCAAATAATACAAGAAACAACCAATAAAACCATAAAACTATCCTAGAAAGCACATCAAAGTTGCAGTTTTAATGCAAACACAAGACCAGAGGTTTGCTTTTTCCCATCATTCAACATGTGAGGCAGGATTTTTTTTATATTGTGCACACTCCCCAAACAGACTTGTGAGTCTAGGCCAATACATTTACCACTTGCAGCATATTTGAGGGCACCATAATGAAAATATAGATCTACCAAGCAACACTGGCATCAATAACATTTACTTGAGAGACAGTGAAAGGGTTAACAAAGTCATTCTTTCTTTATCTCTCATTCCCTCAACTCTGCTATCAGTCTAGATACGTTTTTTTATTTTGGAAGTACTTAAGTTTTACCTTGTGATTAACTTGAGGTTCCAGGGTGCTGCACTGTCATGTACTGTATGAGGTAATGAGGAAAAGAGTATCTTAAATATATCTGCAGGGTGACCCAAAAGTCTGGACACGTAGGAAATATTAATCTGCAGTTACCAGAGTTACAGCATCGTGTATATGTGAATCTTGCAAAGCGCATTGAACTTTGCATTGCTAATGGTGGACAACACGTTGAAGATATTATTCTTTAAAATTACCATATAATTACTACAAAAATGCAATTTTGCATACATGTCCAGACTTTTGGTTCACCCTGTATTTGTTTCTGAATTATATCCTTGAACACACAAGCCTAGCACATGTTGCAGATGTTAGTATGGTTGTGCTTTAACCCTTTGCGGCCAGTGCCATCGTAACATGGTTTTGAGGTCAGGGTCCGTGCCGTAGAATTATGTGATGAGGTCACCTCACTCAGATAAGCTGTGAGCAGTAAATTTGGATCTACATATGAGAGAATGGGCCTAGGCAGTGAGTGTGCATCATATAAAAAAATCCCCCATGATGCAGTGCACAATGGGGAAAAACAGTAACTGTGTATTTGGTTTAAAATAGTGACTTTGTATTGTACTCTTGGATGGTTTTTATGGTTGTATAATCATATTCTTGTTATCATTTGATAGAATGGAAGATACATTATAGAAATAGAGATTATTTTGATTGATTTCAGGACTGAAAATAGCTTGAAACTGAATTCAAAGTAGCAAAAATATTCAGTTTTTGCCAATATTCCAGAGGACAGAAATCATGTCATTCGTCTAATACACGTCTAACTGGTTGGTCTAATATGTGTTCACAAACGCACTGATATTATATATTTTTTATCAACAGGTTGGCCGTCTCCCACTGAGGCAGGGTGATCCAAAAAGAAAGAAAATCCCCTAAAAGAAAATACTTTCATCATCATTCAACACTTTCATCTCACTCATACATAATCACTGTTTTGGCAGAGGTGCCCAGATACTACAGTTTAGAAGCATATGTAAAGATATATAACATATCCCTCCAAACTGTCAATATCCCAAACCCCTCCCTTAAAGTGCAGGCATTGTACTTCCCATTTCCAGTACTCAAGTCCAGCTATAGAAAAATAACCTGACATATATATACAGTGTTATAGGTAGTAGATTGGCAGACAGCAACCGCCCAGGGAGGTACTACCGTCCTGCCAAGTGAATGTAAAACGAAAGCCTGTAATTGTTTTACATGATGGTAGGATTGCTGGTGTCCATTTTTCTGTCTCATAAATATGCAAGGTTTCAGGTACGTCTTGCTACTTCTACTTACACTTAGGTCACACTACACATACATGTACAAGCATATATACATATACACACATCCCTCTGGGTTTTCTTCTATTTTCTTTCTAGTTCTTATTCTTGTTTATTTCCTCTTATCTCCATGGGGAAGATAAGCCATGCGTGTTGTAAGAGGCGACTAAAATGCCGGGAGCAAGGGGCTAGTAACCTCTTCTCCTGTATATATTACTAAATGTAGAAGGAGAAACTTTCGTTTTTCCTTTTGGGCCACCCTGCCTTGGTGGGATACGGCCGGTGTGTTGAAAGAAGAATATATACAGTGGACCCTTGGTTTTCGTCGATTTTGGTTATTGCCGATTTTGATTTTGGCTGACTTTTTTCGGCGATTTTTGGCTTTAGTGTTCATTGATTACCTCCATTTTCGTTGATCATATGGAACCTGTCCAGTCCCCAGTCACAAGGGAAATTCTCCCAGAATGGTTTAATGAAGTGTTTGGCCCCAGTGTGAAAAAATATCTCCTGGATAAGAAATTCCCACTCCAGTCCCTCCTGTTAATGGACAATGCTCCTGCTCATCCTCCAGACTTGGAAGACCAATTGTCTAAGGAATTCAGTTTTGAAACAGTAAAGTTTTTGCCTCCTAACACCACTCCCCTCCTCCAGCCCATGGACCAGCAGATCACTGCAAACTTCAAAAAACTGTACACCAAAGCAATGTTTCGAAGGTGCTTTGACATAACCTCAGACTTTGAATTGACCCTAAGAGAGTTCTGGAAGAATCACTTCAATATCTTCCACTGCACAGGCCTTATAGATAAGGCTTGGCAGGGAATGACTTCCAGGATGATGAACTCTGCTTGGAGAAAACTGTAGCCAGATTGTGTCCAAAAGAAGGATTTTGAAGGGTTTGAAGCTGACCCTGTCGACCCTACACCTGTTGTGCAATCAATTGTGACATTGGGGAATTCCAAGGGGTTAGATGTGAGTTTGGAGGATGTGGAAGAGTTGGTGGAGGACCACAATGAAGAGCTAACCATTGATGAGCAACAGACCACAGCTGAAGAAATTGCTTCAGAGGAGGAGGAAGAGAGATGGAAGAAAGTGCCTTCTTCAAAGATTAAGGAGATTTGTGCAATGTGGACTGAAGTGCATTCATTTGTGGAGGAACATCACCCTGAGAAAGCTGTTGCAATCCGTGGTGGTGACTTTTACAATGATAATGTCATGTCCCATTTTAGGCAAATCTTAAAGAGATGCCAGAAACAGACCTTTCTGGACAGATATTTTGTGCGACAGGGGTCCAGTGACTCTCTAGCTGGTCCTAGTGACAGTAAAAAACAAAGAATAGAAGTGACCCCAGATAAGGACTTGGTACCTAGAGTCCTTATGGAGGGGGATTTCTCTTCCAAACAATAACCTATCTTCCCTCTCCCTTCCTCCCTGCATTCCTTCCAGCAACAACAGCCTTCAATAAAGGTAAGTGTCATGTTTAATGTTCATTCTTTTGTGCATGTAAATGTATATTTAAGGTAAAAAAGTTTTTTTTGTTGATACATATGGGTGTCTGGAACGGATTAATTCCACTTACATTATTTCTTATGGGGAAAATGGTTTTGGTTTTGGCCGATGGCTCTGGAACGAATTAAACATGAAAACCTAGGGTCCACTATACAATTATTACAATAATGCAGTAGTCTTCCTAACAGTAAATCTTCCATTTTTTGTGTAAATAAAAATTCAAAATGGAAAGCAAGTGTAATGTGGGAGGGCTCTGGGGATATATCAAATGAATGGAAGAAATGTTTTAGTGCCAGGAATGTCTGTAATGTTTGTTCTGGACTCAATTTTTGAGTTTTGTGTAAAATTGGCCAAATTACCAATTTCTGATCACTTTATTAGGTAGTTGAAATAGTTAAATGGGCAGTTTCTTGTTCTCAATTGACAGACTGGAAGGCATACTAGAAAAATTGCAAAGAATTTGGTTGACTGGAACAATGGAATTGGCCTAAAATAAGACTAAGCGGGCAAAGTTGCAGGTGCATAAATATCTCAGAGACTACTAGCTTCAGTAAGTTTTCCATCAAATTTCATGCTTTTGGTGTCATTACCTTCAGAAAAAGTTTCTCTATCATTTCATAAGAATTTTTTTTTTCCAGAAAATTCTTGGACCCTGTGGACACATTTCAGATTGGGGGACTGGACCCACAAAGGGTTAAGGAACAGCTTAGGAAATACAGTAATGGCTATTTCAAGGTCTTTTTTCTTAACTGCTTCTTTGAGTTCTTTTTCCAAGTGGTGTCCTGTTTTTCTCCTTTCTCCAACTCCTAGTTTCATTACCTTTTGTCTATTCTTGCTGTCATTATTGACATATGCTATGTATATTAATTTTAATACATTGTATAAAACTATATTTTAAATACAGTTGATCGTCACATAGAGAGTTAGTAATACAAATCCTTACTCTGTGATGTACAACTATATGCATGAAAAGGCATTGAATGTATACCTGCATTGTCTTGCTAATTCAACTTTTAGTTACAGTACATGTCATTATGGGTCTGAATAATTTTAAATGACTACAATACTGTAAAGATGAGAAGAAATTCTAAAGGTTAACATTTCACTCATATTGAAACTATTTAACTATGCAGTAATGTTAATTTAAGAAGTGGATTATAATGAAGAAAACATCAGGACTTCCAAAATACAATAACAACCAAATGCCAGTAGAAAGCTCTACATTTACTAAGGGATGGAGATAAATGGTATAAAATACCAACACAATGGAAACATAGGCACAAATGCAGTATAATGTGATTCTTTATTGACAATGTTTTGCCCACACACACATATGTTTGTGACTTGATAAACCCCACTGTGTGGGTGAAATGTTTTTTATAAAGAATTTCATTATACTACTAAGAGATATTTACAATGTGGTAATGCATGCCTGTTGATATGATATTACTTAAAATATGATGCCTAGAAAGAGTTTGCAGTAATTCCTGCTATTTACCAATCTTTTTATTTTTCAATGAACAGGCCATATCCCACTATATGGTTGATTATTAATTTAAAATGCAAGATTTGCTAAAAAGGATCAACTTGTTCAAATTCTTATAAGTTTTATAAGACCAAGAGAACACAGTTGAACTTATTTTTAATAAGAATGCAGTGAAGAAAATTAAAGGTTTTTGTAGGTCACCACATGGAATAATTTGTTGTACAATAGATGTTCCTTAATTGTAAAGCTTAAAAAACATAAACATATATTGGTTTAAACAAGAGTAGCTGACCATACAACAGTACAAACAGTAAAAGAAGACAAAGTATGCAAGTTTGGCAACCTTAATATAGTAGAGTTCAGGCAAAGCTTAATTAACAAACAGTAAGTAAAAAATAAAAATTTGTACAAGATGTGACATAAAAAAAAGATTTGGTTCTAATTTCTACATCCATGTGTGTTGTGAAGTACATTATATTTGAAATGAAAATGGTCTCTTCTAGAGAGAAGCACATGAATGGTTAGACAAAGAAGAAAGTTTCTAATATAATGAGTAAAGATGTGCTATGTAACTTCTGTTAACAAGTGGGTTGATTATTAAAAATTACACATGCATTATCCATATATGTATCTAAAAGCATATACAAAAAAAAAAAAAAAATAAAACATTTAGAATACACAAAAGACCTAGAAACATACCATAATTAACACATCAAAACAAAAAAAAATTCTACAAAAGATTGTACAAGACAGGAAAAGCAGGAATAGTACTAACTTGCCATGAGGTCATCAGACTGACAGTTATGTTCATCTGAACCATCTGCACAGTCTCTTTTTCCATCACACATTTGAAAGGAGGTAAGACAAATAGTCTGATCTTGGCATACGAATTTGCACATGCCTTCCTCTCCCACACTTAGGAAGTAGCCCTCGTCAGGTGTTGAAGATGAATCGCTATCATCATCCCCAACATTATCAAAAAATAAATCTTCGGTGACACCGATACCACCAAAATTTTTGCTATGTCTTTCAATAGGATTTAGTGGGAATACTTCAGGCTTGTTATCAGGCTTGGTTGCTGGAGCAATAAAAATATTTCTAATAATTTAAAAATTAATATAATACCAAATTAGCATGCTATTAGTTTAATAAAATCTAATTAAACTACGAAATATGAAAGAATTAGCTTCAGTTATTAAACAAAAGTAGTAAGCATAAACAAAGCTCTGAAGAACATGCTGAAATTGTTAGAATATTAGGACCTTTAACTGATAAGAGTTGTTGAAGGTCTTCTTCCCCAACAAGTGGAAGTGTTCCTTTAGGTAGCATGTAAGTATAAATATATTATGAGGCATAAACAAAAATTATTAGTTATAAAGCAGTAAAAAGGCTTATGCCCTTTTGAAGACTTCATAAGTAAGAGTAAGAGTGCAATTTAAGTTTTCAATGCTCATAGCAATGCCCCTTGATGGTCTGCTCCTGCTTCTCTGTACCCGTTGCCTTTTACTAACTTTGTGCCTTTCTAATCTCTTGTCTCTTCCTTTCTACTTTCTTACTTGAATGATATGCCTGTTGAGAATAATCGTCATTCTTTACACACATTTTCATTTCCCTGTACAAGCAGGTGTCGGCTTCTCCACTTAATACAACAACCAACCAGAATTTTTATTTAAAAAAAAAAAAAATGAAAAACCCATTTTTTTTTTTTTTAGCTTTACTGTATCTATTAAATCAAATATGCATTTAATGATTTATTACTTGGGATGCTTATTTCTTAGTAAGGTAGCCCTACAAACAATCTTCTCTAAATATCTGAAATGTCTTTAGTGATGAAGACTTTTGAAAGAGCACTTGAAATGCTCAAAGTTTTATATGTTGGTTTGGTTATAATACCTATAATATAGGTAAAACAAAAAATAATTGCTTGCACTTGGAAGCAAAAATGTAATAAAGAACAAAGACAGCCTCAGAAAGCATGTACCTTGAAGAAAGTTGATCCAGACGAACAAGGAGTGACACAGGGAGAAAAAGCATTAAGACAAGAAAGCAGTAAAGTTATATAACTGAAAGGCTCATGAGGAAGCTAAGAAGATAAACAGACCATTCAGTGGTATTGCATTCTTTAATAATTGGCAAAGGAAAACTGATTTACTACCTTGGTCCTATCAGTGTTAAATATGAGAAAAAATTCTATAAAGTTTTGCCTTTGAAAACAGCAAAGTTTCTATTAAATCTTTATCCATATTTAATACTTTTAATCATGAAAACAGTCTACTTAATATATCAACTTAATATATCAACAAATTAAAATGATAATTGCAAGAATAAATTAGTTTTGAAATTATTACAAAAACTGAACTGTGAAATATTATTACAACTTTTTATAAATGAAACATAGAACTGACCATTGACAATCACTTCAGCAACAGCTCTTGTTGTGCCAGCACTGTTGATAGCTGTACATATGTACCGTCCTGCATCAGAAGTCTCAATTCCACGGAACTGGCGAACAGCCGAACGTTGATCAGAAAAAATAATGTACTATATCTTTTAATATCTATGTACACAAAATTTTAAAAGTGAAATAGATTAATACTGTTGATGAAATAAATTAAAATAATGCAAAGAGGTCAGTTTTCAGTATAGTTTTCTTACCATCATTTCACCATCACTGATAATTACAGAAGGAGGCATTCTGCCTGACTCTTTGGACCAGTTTATGGTAATAGGTGAGGGACCAGTAGCTGAGCACCGAATGCGAACAATTTCACCTGGTCGGACCACTTGTCGTGCTGGGTCTAGAGTGATCCTTGGAGGTGCTGTTGGATAATTAAAGAGAACAAGAAAAATTATTATTCCTTCATAGCCAAACAGGAACATCGTTTGTAAACGTATAATAAAAAACCATCAGTAACTATTTTTTTTTTTTTTTAACAAGTCAACCGTCTCCCACCAAGGCAGGGTGACCCAAAAAGAAAGAAAATCCCCAAAAAGAAAATACTTTCATTATCATTCAACTCTGTCACCTCACTCACACATAATCACTGTTTTTGCAGAGGTGCTCAGAACACAACAGCTTAGAAGCATATACATATGAAGATACACAACATATCCTTCCAAACTGCCAATATCCCGAACCCCTCCTTTAGAGTGCAGACATTGTACTTCCCATTTCCAGGACTCAAGTCTGGCTATATAAAAATAACCAGTTTCCTTGAATCCCTTCACTAAATATTACCCTGCTCACACTCCAACAGATCGTCAGGTCCCAAATACCATTCGTCTCCATTCACTCCTATCAAACACACTCACGCACGCCTGCTGGAAGTCTAAGCCCCTCGCCCACAAAACCTCCCTTACCCCTTCCTTCCAACCTTTTCGAGGACAACCCCTACCCTGCCTTCCTTCCCCTACAGATTTAAATGCTCTCCATGTCATTCTACTTTGATCCATTCTCTATAAATGCCCAAACCACCTTTACAACCCCTCTTCAGCCCTCTGACTAATACTTTTATTAACTCCACACCTTCTCCTAATTTCCACACTCCGAATTATATGCATAATATTTACACCACACATTGCCCTTAGACAGGACATCTCCACTGCCTCCAACCGCCTCCTCGCTGCTGCATTCACAACCCAAGCTTCACACCCATATAAGAGTGTTGGTACTACTATACTTTCATACATTCCCTTCTTTGCCTCCACAGATAACGTTTTTTGTCTCCACATATACCTCAACGCACCACTCACCTTTTTTCCCTCATCAATTCTATGATTAACCTCCTCCTTCATAAATCCATCCGCCGACACGTCAACTCCCAAGTATCTGAAAACATTCACTTCTTCCATACTCCTCCCCAATTTGATATCCAATTTTTCTTTATATAAATCATTTGATACCCTTATCACCTAACTCTTTTCTATGTTCACTTTCAACTTTCTACCTTTACACACACTAATATCAAATATAATTTAGCAAGATTTAAAACTAAACAAAAATGGGAAATAATTTTAAAGTTTTGTGATAATTGTTAAAGAGCCATATAGGTGTGAAATATACCCAGCTTGAATATAGTAGAGAGTGAGAGTGAGAGAGTGAGTGTGGGTGTGTATGTAGGTGGGGGTGTGTGTGTAGGTGGGGGTGTGTATGTAGGTGTGGGTATATGTAGGTGGGGGTATGGTGTGTAGGTGGGGGTGTGTATGTAGGTGTGGGTGTGTATGTAGGTGGGGGTGTGTATGTAGGTGGGGTGGTGTATGTAGGTGGGTGTGTATGTAGGTGGGGGTGTGTATGTAGGTGGGGGTGTGTATGTAGGTGGGGGTGTGTATGTAGGTGGGGGTGTGTATGTAGGTGGGGGTGTGTATGTAGGTGGGGGTGTGTATGTAGGTGGGGGTGTGTATGTAGGTGGGGTGTGTGTGTGTAGGTGGAGTGTGTATGTAGGTGTGGGTGTGTATGTAGGTGGGGGTTGTGTGTAGGTGGGGGTGTGTATGTAGGTGTGGGTGTGTATGTAGGTGTGGGTGTGTATGTAGGTGGGGGTGTGTGTGTAGGTGGGGGTGTGTGTGTAGGTGGGGGTGTGTATGTAGGTGTGGGTGTGTATGTAGGTGGGAGTGTGTATGTAGGTGTGGGTGTGTATGTAGGTGGGGGTGTGTGTAGGTGGGGGTGTGTATGTAGGTGTGGGTGTGTATGTAGGTGTGGGTGTGTATGTAGGTGGGGGTGTGTGTGTAGGTGGGGGTGTGTATGTAGGTGTGGGTGTGTATGTAGGTGGGGGTGTGTATGTAGGTGTGGGTGTGTATGTAGGTGGAGTGTGTATGTAGGTGTGGGTGTGTATGTAGGTGGGGGTGTGTATGTAGGTGGGGGTGTGTGTGTAGGTGGGGGTGTGTTATGTAGGTGTGGGTGTGTATGTAGGTGGGGGTGTGTTATGTAGGTGGGGGTGTGTATGTAGGTGGGGGTGTGTATGTAGGTGGGGGGGTGTATGTAGGTGGGTAGGTGGGGGTGTGTATGTAGGTGGGGGGTGTGGGTGTGTATGTAGGTGTGGGTGTGTATGTAGGTGTGGGTGTGTATGTAGGTGGGGGTGTGTATGTAGGTGGGGTGTGTATGTAGGTGTGGGTGTGTATGTAGGTGGGGGTGTGTATGTAGGTGGGGTGTGTATGTAGGTGGGGTGTGTATGTAGGTGGGGGTGTGTATGTAGGTGTGGGTGTGTATGTAGGTGTGGGTGTATGTAGGTGGGGTGTGTATGTAGGTGGGGGTGTGTATGTAGGTGGGGGTGTGTATGTAGGTGGGGGTGTGCATAGGTGTAGGTGGGTGTGAGCAGGTGTAGGTGTGGGCATGTAGTATGTATATACATACATACATACACTATATATATTAAGAAAAACTGTAAATTGCCCTTACCTCGAACTACAGGTAATCCAATGTTTAATTAAATAAAAAAAAACATTATTAGTGGAACCTAAATTTAAATGGATATTATGCTGTGAATAACAACGGTAATCTAAACTAAATTAAGGCACCTATGGTTGCTCACCACATTATGCATTGTAACTCCTAAATCTATATTTACATCTATGTAAGAGATTGTATATAAAACCAATCAATTTGTTATTACCTTATTAATCTTAAGTTAGTCTTAAGTTTGCCTGAAATGCTCTGAATATTAAGGGGTTTTCTGCATGCACACCTAAATGTCATTCACTTCTGTACAAACATTGTATCATGCTGAAATACAGTATCTTATAGTGTCAACTACACTGGCTGTTAACAGCCCTAGCAATTAAAGCAACACTCCACTGTCCTATGACTTAAAATTTTTGCACAACTTCTCTCATTTTAGTTCTTTACCATATTCTATCAGGTCTTAAACCCTTCAGAGGAGAAAAACAACTTTATTGGAAAAAGTTTTGTAGAATTAAGAGATAACAGTGCAACAGTACCAGTAGTGCTTTGAGAAGGTACCCAACAAAACACAGTATATCATCACCACAGGAGCTTGTCAGTGAACAAAGCAAGCAGGTTTACCACCTCACTCATTATATATCTGATTAAGCCATTATAAAAGCATCATCTACAGAACCCATCCAATAATGTCCTAATTTATCTTTGACAGAGTCCATGAAATATAAAACATATTAATTAATTCCTGCTGGAAAAATTTATCCCTCACAATTTTATATTAATACAATAAACAACAAGTTTCTTGAATAGATTTAACCCTATTTATGAATCCCTGAGAATAGGAACAAGCCTGTCTGAAGTTAGGTAATGAATTGGTTTAGTTAATTAAATCTTTTATATAGTATGTAAATAAAGTAATGAAAGTGTACCTCGAGGAGTGCAAGGGTCTCCTGAAGGGTGCAGCACAGGGGAGAAAACAATGAACATGTCACAAAAAAGAAAACAAATGTTTCTCAATGTTTTGTTAACCCAGTGGTTACTGGAGACAGATTTTTAACCCTTTGGGGGTTTCGGCCGTACTAGTACAGCTTACGACCCAGGGTTTTTGACGTACTAGTATGCCTAAATTCTAGCGCTCTCAAATCTAAAGGGAGAAAGCTGGTAGGCCTACATATGAAAGAATGGGTCTATGTGGTCAGTGTGCACAGTATAAAAAAAAATCCTGCAGCACACAGTGCATAATGAGAAAAAAAAACTTTGACCGTTTTTTGGGAATAAAAGAGCGACTTTGCACTGTATTTTCGTATGGTATTTATTGTTGTATTCTAGTTTTCTTGGTCTCATTTTATAAAATGGAAGACATATTACAGAAATTGAGATGATTTTGACTGGTTTTACAATGAAAAGTACCTTGAAATTGAGCTCAAAATAGCAGAAATGTTCGATTTTTACCAAAGTTCAAAAGTAAACAAATCATGCCAAGCATCCAATACACGTCAACTGGTGAGTCTAATATTCTTTCACAACTGCGCCAATATTATTTATACCATTTCTTACACTAATGCAGTAGTCTGCATAACAGTAAATCTTCTATTTTTTGTGAGAATAAAAATTCAAAGTGAAAAGCAAAAGAATGTAAGAGGGGCCTTGAGACGTGACTAATGAACAGAGGAAATGTCATTTTAGTGCCAGAAATGTCTTTCTTGTTTATTCTGGACCCTATTTGGAAATTGGCATCTTTTGAAATTTGTGTGAAATTGGCAAAATTGCTAAATTCTGACCACTGTACTGGAGAGTTGAAATTGGTAAATGGGTGGTTTCTTGCACTCGTTCGATAGAAAAAATGGAGTTCTAGCGAAATATTCATGTTTTTTGTCGACTAGTACAGTGGAATTGGCTGAAAATGGGCTCAAAGTGGGCAAAATCGCCGATGCGTAAACATCGCCGAGACCGCTAACTTCACGAGAGCATAATTCCGTAAGTTTTCCATCAAATTTCATACTTTTGGTGTCATTATGATCAGGAAAAGATTCTCTATCTTTTCCTAAGAATTTTTTTTTTTTTTTTTTTTTTAAATTTGGCCGACCCTGAGAACGAGTCTCGGAGAGGGCCTGTCAACCCTCAAGGGTTAAAGAGTTTACAAAATTTAACTCAAACTGTGCAAAATAATTTTAATACAAAATAATTTTTTTACTAACCAAGAACTTCAAATACAGAGTAGACAGTAAAGAGAATAGTGCCAGTGATGGGATCAGCACCCACACATGCATATTCTCCTGATGCAGATTCATCAACATTAGTCAAATACAGAACACCATTCTGTGTGTAGGCACCTGCTGGCAATGGCCGATCATCACTACGCTGGAAAGTATATATGATACTGTCTGCATCTGGACCTGTAAAGATAAGCCAAAAGTCAAATTTTATTTCCTGCAAACTACAGGGTACTGAGTCGGCTCTGGGATTGTATCTTTTTGAACATATGAGGGAAGTCTCTTGTTATGAGTAGCATTTCTGGCAGACTAAAAGTAGCACTTACACACAACTTAAAACTAGTATAATTTTTTATAAAACACCTTCAGTTTCCTACTGAGGTAGTGTTACCCCCTTACCACCACCTAAAAAAAAAAAAAAGGAAATGCATTAACCATAATTTATTTCCTGACTTCATGGGGAGTTCCTTGCTGTGGTGAAGAGGCTCTTGATTTCAGGAATTAGACCTTTAAGTCTTCTTCCTCAAATCAAACCTAAATGCCCCTTCACTCCTCCCTTCCCCACCCCACCTCCTTTCCCATCCCTTTCCTCCCATGCCTACATCTGGTCTTTGGGGCTCTCCCCTTGGAAATTATAACTCCTGGGTTGAGGAAAGAGAACCATTGTTTGTCCCATTCCATTGAAGCCCTTGGTGGTAGTGCTGTTTGCCATGGAATCTGTATCTAGGGATGTGCTGATCCACCCTCTGGAGTTCCGGAGGGCGGCTTTAGGTGTCCTTGAGGTGACAGGTGTATCTCTGGAGGCTGCCTGTCAGTTCTGAGAGGTGGTGGCTGAAAGAGGTTTGCCTTGTTATGGGTTTCCGACTGCCCTTTCTTTTGTCTGCCGAGGTGGCTCAGTGGAAGTGAGGTTGTCATCCTGGATTGCCAGTTTACTGGCATGAAGAGTAGGGAAGCACAGGATTCCATGCAGTATTTGCACTACCAGCTGCACCGAGGGACCTCTTGGGCATGGAGAAAGATATATTATCTCTTTTTGGTTCTCCTTGGATCCATCTCTTCACACACTCCCCTCCTTTTTTAAGACAAAAAAAAATTATCATGGAGACATATCCATGAACTCCCTCTTTCCAGGTCTCTTCCCCAATGGCATCCTCACACGACCCCAGCATGTCACCAGACCTTTTAAAGAACCCGTTATGTCCTTTGGGTAACATCTCATTGCCCACCTCTTGCACCAATGCTCCGACATCATAGTTCCAAACTGTAACATCCTCACCCTACCTCTACAGTACAGGCACTGTATTTCTCACTTTCAGGGCTGTCAAGTAGAACTAACTGGTTTTTCTTGAATCCCTTCAAAGGAATCTCCTTCAGCTGAAGTGTGAGAAGAAATAATAAGAGACCTAAGGTTAGTGAGTATTCTTGCTACACTTACTGCTGTATGACCCTTGTGGGTTTAGCACTTAGTTTTGATTGTAATAATAATGGCTACCCTGACAATCTTGGTTTAAGTGATATAGACTTGTGGGTCTGCCATCGTACATCACCACAAAGCCTGTATTAGGGAGAGTATATTCCACTGAGTGATATTAATTGCAATCATACTGTGCGAGATTACGTTCTAGTAACAAAATGGTGAATTCTGTGGGCAAACAAATATAATCTTGATCACAGTCAGGGACATCTTAAGGTAAGGCTCATCATGAAAAGCCTTAGCTAACCATTGTACATGTATATCTTTGTCTCTATTATTCTTCTATATTAATAAATTAAACCATATTATGTTACAATCCCTTCATTCTGACATAGCTGTTACAACAGTTAAGAGTTATTAATTAGAATATCATAGTCATTAATATTCTCCATTTAACTTAATCAAGTTACTGTGAATATTTTTGTAATCTACATATTCTATGAACAGTTTTAAGAACATAAGAACATAAGAAAGAAGGAACACTGCAACAGGCCTACTGACCCATGCAGAGCAGGTCCATGTCCCCCCCAAATAGACCAATGACCCCCTCCCCCCCCCGGATTAGCCCAACGACCCACCCAGTCTGGTCACCTCCACTCAAGGAAGGAGCACGGTACCAGACCCAGCAGCACAAACTAGTCAGGTCCAACTCACACCCACCCACACCCACTCATGTATTTATCTAACCTATTTTTAAAACTACACAACGTTTTAGCCTCAATAACTGTACTCAGGAGTTTGTTCCACTCATCCACGATTCTATTACCAAACCAGTGCTTTCCTATATCCTTCCTGAATCTGAATTTTTCCAACTTGAAACCATTGCTGCGAGTCATGTCTTGGCTGGAAATTTTCAGCACGCTACTTACATCCCCTTTATTTATTCCTGTTTTCCATTTATACACCTCGATCATATCCCCCCTAATTCTACGCCTTTCAAGAGAGTGCAGATTCAAGGCCCTCAGTCTATCCTCATAGGGAAGATTTCTGATACATGGGATCATCTTTGTCATCCTCCTCTGTACATTTTCCAGAGCATTTATATCCATTCTGTAATACGGTGACCAGAACTGAGCAGCATGGTCTAAATGAGGCCTAACCAAGGATATATAGAGTTGAAGAACAACCTGAGGACTTCTATTATTTATACTTCTTGATATGAAGCCAAGAATTCTGTTAGCTTTACTGCGAACACTAATGCACTGTTGTCTTAGTTTTAGATTACTGCTAACCATAACTCCTAAATCCTTTTCGCAATCAGTAGTATTAAGATCTACATTATTTAGTTTATATGTGGCATGGTTATTTTCCTGTCCAACATTTAGAACTTTGCATTTGTCAATATTAAACTGCATCTGCCACTTCTCTGACCATTGCATCAGTCTATTCAAATCATCCTGGAGTGCTCTAGTGTCCTCACTAGAATGAATTGGACGGCCTATTTTGGTGTCATCAGCAAATTTGCTTATGTCGCTATTTATTCCCTCATCTACGTCGTTTATGTAAATTGTGAACAACAACGGGCCCAACACTGACCCCTGAGGAACACCGCTTGTGACGTGCCCCCATTCTGATTTCTCCCCATTTATGCAAACTCTCTGCTGTCTATTTGTCAGCCATGCCTCTACCCAGGAAAAAATTTCTCCTCCTATTCCGTGTGCCTTAAGCTTCCTCAATAGCCTCTGGTGTGGAACTCTATCGAAAGCCTTACTGAAGTCCATATACACAATATCATATTCATTACCATGATCTACCTCCTCAAACACCTTAGTGAAAAAAGATAGTAAATTCGTAAGACAGGAACGTCCCTTTGTAAAACCAAGTTGAGATTCGTTAATCAATCTGTGCCTGTCAAGATGGCTACGAATTGCTTCGGCAATTATTGATTCCATAAATTTTCCCACTATGGAGGTAAGGCTTATTGGTCTATAGTTCGAAGCCAAGGACCTGTCACTTGACTTGTAAATAGGCAAATAAGGTAGAGTATGCTTAATCTCAAGTCTGCCTAAAATACTTTGCAAACTATGGGATTTTCCATGTAAGATAAAATGGTATATATAATATACTGTAATGCTATGTCCCATGGAAAATAAACCTTACACTACAATTCACCTGTATATATTATTATAAACAGGCATGTGGAAGTGCATAAGATGGGAATGAGTGAAGGCAAGTGGTTTTTATGACTTTATATGCTGTTAGAGTGTGAGAAAGGTAACATTTATGAAGGGATTCAGGGAAAGCAGTAAGTCACACTTAAGTCATGAAGGAGGAAACTATAGTGCCTGCACTCTGAAGGAGGAGTGGGGATATTGTAGGAATGCATCTGAGCTGTAATGTTGGTATGTCTCTAACAAGACAGTGATAGAGTGATGGTGAAAGTGTTTCTTCTTTTTTTTTTTTGGGGTGATTCAAACTCAGTAGGAGAAGACTGGTGTGGTAAAAAATACACTTATGAATAAAAAAATAATTTCTATTATTTATTATTTTTTTTTCAACAAGTCGGTCATTTCCCACCTTGGCAGGGTGACCCAAAAAAAGAAAATACTTTCATTATTATTCAACACTTTCACCTCACTCATACATAATCACTGTCTTTGCAGAGGCACCCAGATACAACAGTTTAGAAGCATATATAAAGAGATATAACACATGCCTCCAAACTGCCAATATCCCAAACCCCTCCTTTAAAGTGCAGGCATTGTACTTCCCATTTCCAGTACTCAAGTCCAACTATATAAAAACTACCGGTTTCCTTGAATCCCTTCACTAAACATTACCCTGCTCACTTCGTCAGGTCCCGAAAAGAATTCACCTGCATTCACTCCTAAGATGCTCATGCACGCTTGCTGGAAGTCCAAGCTCCTCCCCCACAAAACCTCCTTTACCCCCTCCATCCAACCTTTTTGAGGACGACCCCTACCCCGCCTTCCTTCCCCTACAGATTTATATGCTCTCCATGTCATTCGACTTTGATCCATTCTCTCTAAATGGCCAAACCACCTCAACAACCCCTCTTCAACCCTCTGACTAATACTTTTATTAACTCCACACCTTCTCCTAATTTTCACACTCTGAATTCTCTGCATAATATTTACACCACACACACTGCCCTTAGACAGGACAGCTCCACTGGCTCCAACCAGCTCCTCGCTGCAGCATTTACAATCCAGGCTTCACACCCATATAAGTGTTGGTACCACTATACTTTCATACATTCCCTTCTTTGCCTCCATAGATAACGTTTTTTGTCTCCACATATACCTCAATGCACGACTCACCTTTTTTCCTTCATCAATTCTATGATTAACCTCATCCTTCATAAATCCATCAGCTGACACATTAAGCATGTCTCGTATCTTTAAATCTATAGCCAATAAGCATTTTTGAATGTGATATTTGGATTCAGGACATGAAAATACATAAGAATTAACTAATCTCATTTAAGAAGCATACAACTTCTTAAAAATTGTTGACCAGTGTTAAGAGATGGATATATACATACACACACACACACACACACACACACAGAACTACAAAGGGATCTGGACAGGCTGCAGACCTGGTCCAGCAATTGGCTCCTGGAGTTCAATCCCACCAAGTGCAAAGTCATGAAGATTGGGGAAGGGCAAAGAAGGCCGCAGACGGAGTACAGTCTAGGGGGTCAGAGACTACAAACCTCACTCAAGGAAAAAGATCTTGGGGTGAGTATAACACCAGGCACATCTCCTGAAGCGCACATCAACCAAATAACTGCTGCAGCATATGGGCGCCTAGCAAACCTCAGAACAGCATTCCGACATCTTAATAAGGAATCGTTCAGGACCCTGTACACCGTATACGTTAGGCCCATATTGGAGTATGCGGCACCAGTTTGGAACCCACACCTAGCCAAGCACGTAAAGAAACTAGAGAAAGTGCAAAGGTTTGCAACAAGACTAGTCCCAGAGCTAAGAGGTATGTCCTACGAGGAGAGGTTAAGGGAAATCAACCTGACGACACTGGAGGACAGGAGAGATAGGGGGGACATGATAACGACATACAAAATACTGAGGGGAATTGGCAAGGTGGACAAAGACAGGATGTTCCAGAGTTTGGACACAGCAACAAGGGGACACAGTTGGAAGCTAAAGACACAGATGAATCACAGGGATGTTAGGAAGTATTTCTTCAGCCACAGAGTAGTCAGTAAGTGGAATAGTTTGGGAAGCGATGTAGTGGAGGCAGGATCCATACATAGCTTTAAGCAGAGGTATGATAAAGCTCACGGCTCGGGGAGAGTGACCTAGTAGCGATCAGTGAAGAGGCGGGGCCAGGAGCTCGGACTCGACCCCCGCAACCTCAACTAGGTGAGTGAGTACACACACATATATATAAATCTATAGGGGAAGGAAGGAGGGGTAGGGGTCGTCCTCGAAAGGGTTGGAGAGAGGGGGTAAAGGAGGTTTTGTGGGCAAGGGGCTTGGACTTCCAGCAAGTGTGCATGAGCGTGTTAGATAGGAGTGAATGGAGACGAATGGTACTTGAGACCTGACGATCTGTTGGAGTGTGAGCAGGGTAATATTTAGTGAAGGGATTCAGGGAAACCGGTTATTTTCATATAGTTGGACTTGAGTCCTGGAAATGGGAAGTACAATGCCTGCACTTTAAAGGAGGGGTTTGGGATATTGTCAGTTTGGAGGGATATGTTGTGTATCTTTATATGTATATGCTTCTAAACTGTTGTATTCTGAGCACCTCTGCAAAAACAGTGATTATGTGTGAGTGTGGTGAAAGTGTTGAATGATGATGAAAGCATTTTCTTTTTGGGGATTTTCTTTCTTTTTTGGGTCACCCTGCCTCGGTGGGAGATGGCCGACTTGTTGAAAAAAAAAAAAAAACATACATACATACATACAAACATACATACATACATACATACATACATACACACATACATACATACATACAGTGGACCCCCGGTTTACTTAACCTGACTCATCATTTTTTTTTTTCTTCTCCCTCTTCCCCTTTCCTCTTTCCTTTTTCTCCTCTGGGTTGTCTTTCTCTCTTCTGTCTCGTGTTTCTGTTCCTTCTTCATTTATTTCACCACTTCCCCTTTCACGCACTTCTGTGCTCTTGCTCTCCATCTGTGGGCACCTAGCTCTCTTGCAGTGCTCCCCTTCCTTTGTATTTGACTGGCTCGTCCTCCTTATTCCCCCCTAAAACGCTTTCTTGATAGTTGCGACAGAACCCACAGGCACAATACCAGACACAAACATCTCTATGACATTCCCCGTGTCCGACTAAACCTTTACAAAAATTCCATGTATGTCAAAGGCCCTAAAATCTGGAACACCCTACCTGAAAATTCTAAAACTGCAGACACATTCATCACCTTCAAAACTACCATCAGAAAACATCTTATCTCCCTGATACACCCTGTCAACTAATTACATGAATACCACCTGGTGGTTAACACTTACACTCACTCACCCATTTGACCATAAACAGAAATATCAATCTCAATCTCAAAATAATGAATCTTAACTAGTCATAAGTTGGCCTGTGATACTCCAATACTGAAACTATGTATAGTGCCAAAACAAAAGCATTCACATTGCTAAACTCACAAACTAGTATTTAGTCACTTAGCCATAATACCAACTTACCTCATAATTTTGTAATATTTTAAACTTAAGATTTAATTTAAGTCTGCCCAAAATGCCTAGCCATGCTAGGTGTTCTAGTGGTACACTCTGTAATTATTATTTTACTACATGTAAACAATACAATAACCAAATTCTGTAAACTCAGCATTGTAATCCTTATAGAGAATAAACTTTGAATTTGAATTTGAATTTGAATTGAACTTCTACCACTACCACTACTACTACCTCTTCTACTACTACTACTACTACTGATGAAATTAAGACACATGTGCGGCGTCTGGGTGTCTTTGTTGTGGACGTTTCGCCATCCAGTGGCTGGCTGGATGGCGAAACGTCTACAATGGGGATGCCCGGGTGTTGCGCATGTGTCTTGATTTCATCTTGTCGGTATTATATACCATTCTTGTACTACTACTACTACTACCACCACCACCACTTCTTTCTGCCTATATATAGCCGTCCTGCTCCACTTCTGGTTAGTGTGACTTTGTTAATGGTCCAAGTCGGACCGAAACATCGTCGTAAGCTTCTCTCTTTTATGTGCGGGTTATTTGTGTATGGTACCAGAATGAATGTTCTACGACATTTCTACAAGAAATTATAGTCATTTATATCAGGTATGGTGATGGCGATGTGGGTAGCAAGTCTGCTCACAGCCCATATATTTTTTGGAATTTTTTCCTTGTTTTTTATCTCTTTTTCTTGCATTATTCTTTCTAATATAATAACTGACTATTTGGCATCATAAAACAGTAGGCAGAGCTTATCCATAGACTTAGAGCCAACCAGGAACCATATGGGAACGCTCGGCAGTGTTCCCGCTCCAGAGAGTGCCAGGAGAAATCACTTCATTATTACGCTTATATCAGCTTATATATCAACTCTACGGCTTATTTTTCTATCAGAATTGATCTAATATGATATAATAAACACTATAAATAACATACAAACATGTTATATACTCTAGACTGAATAAAATAAGCCATAATATGGCGAGAGACCATCGGGAATATTTTGATATAAATGAGTGAATCCTCTCATGAAGTATTCTTTGGTCTCTGAGTAAGAGAAAATGGTGTTTTGAAGAGGATAACTGCACTAGAACATCAGTTTACTAAGAAATACACCCAAACAAATGCGATTTTCGTGAAAAAAAAAATTTCAGATGGGGGGCCGGCCGGTGCTCCAGGCCAACATCTCGGAAGTAACTTATTCACCTAATGTAAATAATTCTTCCTTTATTACATAATTAAATGGAATAATATTCACAGAAATTGTAAAATAATGATTTCTCTATTTTCTGGTGGAATATTTTGGGAAATATTCCAATTATTTTGGGATTTATGTGGGAGTAAAGGGCTGATATTTTGGAACATTCCAAGAACTAACAAACTTTATTTTTTTGTGAAATAAAGATAAAGATATTTAGAGGAAACTAATCCACCAGAAATTTGTATAAGCATTGTTCTCTCGGCACCAAGTGTCCAAATAACCTTACGTCGTCCCATATAGGACTACCATCCTGCCAAAGGGCATTTTCAGTAAATCAGTCCTTTTTCAGTCTTTTCTCAGTTGTTGTTTGAGGTATATTTTTGATAAATATTTTCAAGAAAGAGTGAAAACACTTTGTCTTGTGCACCAAAACTGGAGGAAATCGGACGGTAAACAAACGAGCTACAATTTTTTGAAACACGGCCCCTTACTCCTTACCTCCAGGATTCAAGTCCGGCTAACCAGTTTCCCCAAATCCCTTCACAAAATATTACCCTGCTCACACTCCATCAGCCTGCCAGGTCCCAAAAACCATTCATCTCCATTCACTCCTAACACACACACACACACACACATGCCTGATGCATGTCCAGGTCCCTTGCATACAAAACCTTTTTTATCCTCTCTCTCCATCCTTTCCTAGGACAACACCTACCCCTCTTCCTCTCCACTATAGATTTATGCACCCTCCAAGTCCCCTATTTTGCTCCATCCTCTCTAAATGACTAAACCACCTCAATAACCCCTCTTCAGCCCTCTGAATTATAATTTTAATAACTCCACACCTCCTCCTAATTTCCACACTACAAATTCTCTGCATAATATTTACACCATATATTGCCCTTAGACAAGACATCTCCACTGCCTCCAACCTCCTTCTTGCTGCAGCATTTACAACCCATGCTTCACACCCATATAAGAGTGTTGGTACCACTGTACTGTCATACATTCCCTTCTTTGCCTCCAGAGATAACATTTTTTGTCTCCACATATACCTCAATGCACCATTCACCTTTTTTCCTTCATCAATTCTAAGGTTAACCTCATCCTTCATAAACCCATCCACTGACACGTCAACTCCCAAATATCTGAACACATTCACTTCTTTCGTACTCCCTCTCTCCAATGTGATATCCAATTTTTCTTTACCTAACTCATTTGATACCCTCATCACCTTACTCTTATCTATGTTTACTTTCAGCTTTCTTTATACACCCTCCAAAACTCGTCCGCTGACCTTTGCAACTTCTCCTCAGAACCTCTCAAAAGCACAGTATAATCAGCAAAAAGTAACTGTATCAACTCCTATTTTATATTTGATTCCCCATAATTTAATTCCACCCGTCTCCCCAACACCCTAGCATTTAATTATATATATCATCTTCTTAAGCTTTTGTGATTTCCACTTTATAAATGTATCTAATAAATTTTTCTCCTAGCCTTCATAAAAAACACAATAAATCATACCCTTTTCAAGTATATAAAAACTGTACTTACCTCTGTTACTGCTTTCACTGTGCAACCACTTACCAATATCTTACTTTGCAGAAAGATCAGATTCACAAGGTATCACACTGAATCTATGAAATATTTAAAAACTAAGAAAAATTTCTCACATTATTCTAATAAGGTTATAAAATAAAAATTATATAATTTACCATCCTTACCATGTCCTGAGCATGTAAATTCATATGATCCTCCAACAGGAACAATGACTGTAGAGGAGTCGTGTGGTCTGGCAGGTGATGGAGCTGGAATTCCTGGTACAGAATTACCAGGCAGAACATCTTCAATATTCAACTGGATTCTCTCTTCACTAACACCTGCAAGTTTCAACTGCTCAATAAATTTAGCCTTAATTAAAAAATTTGCTCATATTTATGGCTTCCATATAATCTTAAAAACCTTCAATTAATTTTTCTTCATGTAAGATTTTACATACTGAATTAATAATAATTAAATTTAGTCATAAGCAGAGGGGGAAAAGGATCTATCCCAGCCTGCTCTCCCTGTTATGTACATCTCCAAATATAATTTAATGAAATAAGATTAAATACAGGATCAATGGTAAACCATATATAATCACAAAAATATTGTCTGCACTACTTATTAATAACATCTATTACTTAAGCATTATAATCAGTACTTTACAACTTCTGCACAAATAAAGCACTTATCATACACCGTAATTTTTTTTTTTAGGCACAGCAGCCATTTCACACTGAGGCAGTGTGACCCAAAAAAAGAAGAAACAAAGCTTTTCTTCTTTTTAGATTTAGTAATCTGTACCTAAGAAGTGATTACTAGCCCCCTCCTCCTGGCATTTTAACTGCCTCTTATGGCACATATGGAAGGATTGTTCTCTACTTTCCTATGGAGATATACCATAAGTAATACCTGAAATTCAAAAACACTATCCTTCATGACATTATCTCCAATATTTTAACTTTCCTACATGGGCCCCCTCCTTGAGAGCAGATTCCTTTACAGTTTTTGGTTGCCTTTGGCCACAGTGGCCAAGACTTGCCATGCCAGGGTAGCTGTGGTGACTCACTAAGCACCTGTGTTTGCCAAGAATTGGCACTTGTATACTTATCTTTTCTGCTTGCCTCTAAGTTGAACATAGCATTGGAGCTGTGGCCCATCAGTGGGTAACACACACATTTGTTGTTGGCAAAAGCTATACTGCCCAAATATGCAGTTCCTATTTTTTTCGTTTTGTGATTATGGATTTTTGACCACCCAAGAACCAAAAGTCAGTAGCATCAGGTGAGTGGGGCATTGCATGGCTTATTAGCTATTTATGGTGAAGAATATTTGACAATTCCTAAGTTGGTACTATAGTGAGCTGCACCCTCTTGGTCCTGTTTTTTGCTCCCAGCCATATGGTGGTTACTTGAATATACGTCTCCACTGATCCTGGAGCTGTTTATTTTGGACCATATCTTAATGGACTTCATGGTGGATGGAGCCAATAATCCATACTCAAGTTCTGTGTTGATGGCAACCATTGGTCTTGTTCCTAACCAAAGACCCAGTTGACTTCTTACCCAAGGGCACTTCCTGCAGACTGAGAGCCCACTTTAACAAGTGGTTCGGGGATAAATGAAGTGACAATATACTACCACCATATGAAAGTGGGAAACTAAGTAGTGATGATTTACTTTCCTATCAGTATTCACCATTCAAAAACATAAAACAGAAGATCAGGCTTCCAAAAAATAAACCTATATACATTTGTACATTATTTATGTATTATCTATAGTTTAATCATATTGGAGATATAAGAAAAGGCTCCAATGATATTTAAAATCTGACTTTTACAGTCTTCAGCATTTAGTTTTAATATGAAAGTCTCTTCATAAATCATACTCCTAGTTGTATACATTGTGTATAAGAAAAAAGACATACCTGCAGAATTCCTTGCAGTACATTGGTAAGTGCCCTCATCTGCTCTTGTCACGCTAGCAATTTCGTATACAGCAACACTGGGACTTGTTGATCGACTGGGTCTGAAATAAAGAAAATAGCATATTGTAATGATTAAAAAATCCTTATTGAATATATAAACATGAAGTTTACTATCAAAGAATAAAATTATCATACTTTTTAATTCAGTTCTTTAACCCGTAAATGGTCCAAATGTAAATATACGTTCTTATCACTAGTGCCATAAACGTATATAAACGTTTTATTTTTCTTGCCTTCAAATATGGCACGATTGGCCTGAGATGCCTTGTCAGCATAGAATGGGTCTTAACACTCAGTGTGCACTGTATTAAAAAAATCTGGGACCACTTAGTACCTTGTGGGAGCACCAGTTGAAATGAGCACCAGCTAGAGCAAATAGCATGGCAAATACCTGGGATTCACTGATTTCATGTAGTCTTAACTCTCCCATTTTAAGAGGAAAGTGATGCTGACCCTGAGTTTAATGGCTTTGAGGTGGATGTAGCCATAAGTGGTTGAGGAAATATTAAGCCTCAATAATAACCCATGTGTAACATTTGTGCAACACCCTTTCAGAATGTCTTACAACCTATGCCCTAAGTAAAGAGAAACAATTCTGGAATGTAATACTTGTTCAACAGACAGACAGACAGACAGACAGGCAGGCTGGCTGGCTGGCTGGCTGGCTGGCCGGCCTATGTCTATGTCTATGTCTATCTCTGTCTATCTGTCTCTATCTCTATCTATCTTTGTCTGTCTCTGTCTATCTCTTTCTATCTGTCTCTGTCTCACAGGTACACATAAATACAAGTATACGTAGTATAAATTACGTAGGATAACCCAAAAAATCCAGACAAAGTGCTATACTCTGCTTGAAGATATGAGTAAACATGATGATGCAGTCTTGTGGCTCTCTCTGAGACAGAGAGCTGGATGGATAGACAGACAGATAGGGAGCTTAACAGACAGACAAATAGACAGACAGACATGTTTGTGTACCAGCGAAAACAAAGCGAGGGCCGATGCTCATCAAATGTCAACTCTTATCTTATGTCATCTTATCACTTCACTGTCAGGGGTGGACTGAGGCTTGTTTTACATGCTTCAAGGGAACTTATTATTATGTATTATTATTATTATTTTCTTCTTCTTCTCCTTCTTCTTCTTCTTTATCTTCTTCTTCTTCTTCTTATTATTATAATATACTTCCACATATCCAAAACATTGCTGGGCCCTATAAATACTTTGTATATATTACAAGATAATAGTAAATGTCCACCTGTCAGTGTGTTTGTGATAATTTGAGTACAATTTCAGTACCTAATACTAGTGTCAGAACAAAGATTGGTTATGAAATGAAAAGAACAACTATAAACTGTATTTTTTTTTTTAACAAGTCAACCGTCTCCCACCAAGGCAGGGTGACCCAAAAAGAAAGAAAATCCCCAAAAAGAAAATACTTTCGTCATCATTCACCACTTTCACCTTACTTACACATCATCACTGTTTTTGCAGAAGTGCTCAGAATACAACAGTTTAGAAGCATATACATATAAAGATATACAACATATCCCTCCAAACTGCCAATATCCCAAACTCCTCCTTTAAAGTGCAGGCACTGTACTTCCCATTTCCAGGACTCGAGTCTGGCTATATAAAAATAACTGGTTTCCCTGAATCCCTTCACTAAATATTTCCCTGCTCACACTCCAACAGCTCGTCAGGTCCTAAATACCATTCGTTTCCATTCACTCCTATCTAACATGCTCACACACACTTGCTGGAAGTTCAAGCCCCTTGCCCACAAAAGCTCCTTTATTCCCTCCCTCTAACTTTTTGAGGACGACCCCTACCCCGCCTTCCTTTCCCTACAGAATTATACGCTCTCCATGTCTTTCGACTTTGATCCATTCTCTCTAAATGACCAAACCACCTCAACAACCCCTCTTCAGCTCTCTAATACTTTTATTAACTCCACACCTTCTCCTAATTTCCACACTCCGAATTTTCTGCATAATATTTACACCACACACTGCCCTTAGACAGGACATCTCCACTGCCTCCACCGTCTCCTTGCTGCAGCATTTACAACCCAAGCTTCACACCCATATAAGTGTTGGTACCACTATACTTTCATACATTCCCATCTTTGCCTCCATATATAACATTTTATTGTCTCCACATATACCTCAACGCACCACTCACCTTTTTTCCTTCATCAATTCTATGATTAACCTCATCCTTCATAAATCCATCCACTGACACCTCAACTCCCAAATATCTGAAAACATTCACTTCTTCCATACTCCTCCTCCCCAATTTGATATCCAATTTTTCTTTATCTAAATCATTTGATACCCTCATCACCTTACTCTTTTCTATGTTCACTTTCAACTTTCTACCTTTACACACATTCTCAAACTCATCCACTAACCTTTGCAATTTTTCTTTAGAATCTCCCATAAGCACAGTATCATCAGCAAAAAGTAACTGTGTCAATTCCCATTTTGTATTTGATTCCCCATAATTTAATCTCACCCCTCTCCCGAACACCCTAGCATTTACTTCTTTTACAACCCCATCTATGAACATATTAAACAACCACGGTGACATTACACATCCCTGTCTAAGACCTACTTTTACCGAGAAGTAGTCTCCCTCTCTTCTACACACCCTAACCTGAGCCTCACTATCCTCATAAAAACTCTTTACAGCATTTAGTAACTTACCACCTATTCCATATACTTGCAACATCTGCCACATTATCCACTCTATCATATGTCTTTTTTAAATCCATAAATGCAATTGTAATTTTTTTTTTTTTTAACAAGTCGGCCGTCTCCCACCAAAGCAGGGTGACCCAAAAAGAAATTATCAGAAATTAACAGAACATAAAAATTATATAAAATAATTTGGAAAATAGAAAAAAAGGTATATCGGCAACACTTCTGCAAGCGGCAGGATTCGATGTTGCCGTCATGTGAGCATCCAGTGCCAACTTCTCGGCCTCATATCTTTGTAAGTACTGACCCTATTTTTTTTTTATCCTATAACACTTAGAAAAATGTGCTCTTTATTTCCATAAAAAAAAAGATTTTTTTATTTTTCATAATATTCAGGGCACTGGGGTAGTGAACGTATATATATGTTTGGACCGTTTACAGATTAATGAACAATGGTAGAAATTTAACCAAGAACTAGCTTCCTTGTAGAGAAAGTTTTTAAGACTAAATTACTTACATAACGGATGGAAAATTGACCTGGAGTTTTTGCCAGGTAACTGATGGAGCAGGATCACCTTGAGCAGAACATTCTAAACGCACTCTCTCTCCAATGCGCACCATGTAGGGTGATGGTCCAGGGTGAATGGTTATTACTGGTAATGACTGTATTTCCAGTATTGCTATTGCTCTCACAGTGCCAGCATCATTCTCTGCTGTGCAAGTATATGAGCCTTCTTCATCACCTTGGACTTGGTTGAATCTGAGAAAAAAATAATACTATACACCTAATAACACATTTCAAATTAGTAATAAAAATGATATGGAAGATAGTTTTTTCTTCTTATGTAACCTATACTCATCCCATGGGCAGTGGTAAGAAAAATTACTGAGATACAATATAGGTCCAGGAACTAAAGACACCCTTGGAAGAGGCTAAATTACACATGGTTAAACTCTGCTTACAGTGATTTACTTTAGCCTAGGCCTGATACCAGAGCCGTTTACCCGATGGGCAAAGTATACAGGGCCTACTAAAATGTTTAAAGCCCCAAAATATCTTAGATGAGACAAAAATGTGAAGAGAAAATTGCCAGAACATAATCATTTATTTTGAGTATAATAAAATTTTTGTAATCATGCGGGTTACATTCTTGTAGACCCTGCTATTATAAAGTAGTGTAGATGAATGATGGAGTATACAGTAGGGCCCTAACTTAAAGACATTAATGAGTTCAGTGTCTGGTACCTGGAACCTATTTTTACCATAAAAACATATTATAAAGAAATAATGTATTTCCCAGCTATATTCCCTTTCTAGCTTCAGTTAATGTTTCAAAGAACTTTTATCCAATATTTTAGATTAGATACTGAACCTTTTTACTATAAATAATACTAGATATTATTCAATTAATGGAGTGAAGAAGAATCATTCCTTCATAAGCCATGCATATTATAAGAGGCAACTAAAATGCCAAGAGCAAGAGGCTAGTAACCCATTTTTCCTTTATAAATTACTAAATGTAATAAGAAGAAAAACTGGCTTTTCTTCTTTTTTTGGGGTCACCCTGTCTTGGTGGACAATGGGCAGTGTGTTAAAAATAATGTTAATTAAACAGAACAGAGCTACAATACTCAATACTTGCTTCATGTGCTCTCCACTTGTATGACCCTTGTGGGTTTAGCACTTAGTCATGATTATAATAATAACTCAAAGACTCTTTACATATGCTTTTCATACCTTCATTGTTGTGGTAAGGGTTAACGTGCTTGGGTATATAGTGTATGAAAATAGTTGAGGATAACTGATGGAGAGTATGGCAGGAGGATATTGGATGACTGTAGCTACCAGACTCCACAAAGCATACTTGTTAAATCCATAGTTTTTAACCAATCTATCCATGAATGCAAAAAGAAAAATGTACCAGAGTATAGTGAAATAATACTCTTGTGTGGGTATAAAGCATGAGTTTTTAATGTTGCAGTGAGGAGGCTGGAGGCAGTGATGCTGTGTGTGAGAGCAGTGTATGGTGTGAATATTGTGCAGAGAGTTTGAAGTGTAGAAATTAAAAGACAATAAATATAATAAAAATATATGTAGTATGTTATGAGAGTTCCAGTTGTAAAAGTAACATACCTGAGAACACCTCCATCTAAGGTTTCTGTGCTGGATGTCAAGGGTCGACCATCAGTTCGTGTCCAATAAACACTTGGGTTGGGAATACCAGCCGTCAAGTGGCACTGGAAGAGGGCACTTGCACCAACAACAATTGTTTGCTTCACTTCAGGGTACACTTCAATTACAGGGGGTTCACGACCTGATGACATATAAAGCCACAAAATCTAATTTAGCTATGAAAAGGCACAAACAATATGATCTGAATGGATTTTGAAAATAAGCTATGTTTAACTTGAAAGTATAACAGTGTCTGTCACGTCTATTTAATAAGAATATAAACCTCAGTTTTTCCTGATAATAGAACACAAACCTCCAGTACAATAAGACTGACAACTGAAGATTTAGCATTACCATTTTATTTAAGCAAGGGGAACCATTAAACCTTTAGTGGTCATTAGTGCCCTGGGAATGGGAGGCATTTGGGTTTGATCCAAGGAAGGGAGGGGATAAGCCCAGTTCCTTGAATCAAGAGCCTCTCAACATCATTATGACATTTCCTTTAAGGGGGTAATATCATTACCAGTACTTAAAATTTTGCAAAACAATGTGTATTTAATGTAATCTGATTTGTCTTATCTCTTATCTTTCACAAATAACCCACACTTTTTAGAAGAAATTTTAGAAGACATTTTGGTAGGTCTTGGCCCATTGTCTAGTCCAGTTAGGACTTTCCTATTTCCTTTTTGGCCCAGTCAGTTATCTTCTGCCCTCCTATTTTCTATAACCAAAGAAAGACCCAGCCCCTTAACAAATATCATTCTCATATAGAATTTGAAAGCACTCAGAGCAAGAGCAAAATCAGAACTAGTACACCTGAGGATCTTTAGTCTACAGAAGGACACTTAACTGACTTCTCTGTACACTTAATTGACTATACTACATATTAACCAATAAATGAGAATCAAATGAAAATAAAAAATGTACATCAGTACTAAAAGTACTTACGTTCAACTTCAATGATTGCTGCAGCCTGAGCAGTGCCCCCATCATTCTGGGCGGTGCATACATACATGCCACGATCATTTATGACAGCATTGTTTATTCTAAGGATACTTCCTTCTACGATCACTCCAGCACCAAACTCCTCATTTACCTAAGAATAACATTACATGAATGTTATACATAGAAATGATTCAAAAACTAGTTATAAAAAGAGATCATTGCACAAGGTACAATGATAAAAAAATGGGGTGATAACAGATATTATATGAATGATTTTGGTTTAGCTATCTACTATCTTCTAGGTGCATTTATTAGGATCAGTAATATAATAAGTATTTTCATATTTTCAAGTATTTATTATTTATGTGGTAATTCTTAATAATGAAAACTATTAATTTAGCAAAGCAAAATTACCTTAGACCATGTAATAACTGGAGCTGGATCACCAGACACAATACAACGAAGCTCTGCATTGGTGCCCTGGTTAATAGTTTGTCGATCTGGTTGAATCTGTACCATTGGCAAATTGCTGAAATTTGAAATAGTGCTATTACACTTATTGTTATAAAACAAATAGCTCTTTAGAACATAAAAGGAAAGTATTACCTCAACTATAATACAGTGGACCCCCGCATAGCGACCTTAATCCGTGCAAGAGGGCTGGTTGTTATGCGAAATGTTCGGTATGCGAATGAATTTTCCCCATAAGAAATAATGGAAATCAAATTAATCTGTGCAAGACACCCAAAAGTATGAAAAAAAAATTTTTACCACATGAAATATACATTTTCCTACACACAAAGAGAAGGATACATGCACAATAGTAGAGTAGTACATGCACAATATATATTGTGCATGTACTACTCTACTAAATGAAGAATAAATGACACTTACCTTTATTGAAGATGCAGCAATGACTGATGAGACACTGTGTCCTGGGAGTGCCTTTTCCTCCTGAGTACTGTAGGTCCTGTTTGGCATTTTCTTCCAGAACAGGCCTTATCACACTGTGTATGCCACTACGATTCTTAAATCTCTCAAACCAACCTTTACTGGCTTTAAATTCACCAATATGAGCACTAGTTCCAGGCATTTTTCCCTGTTCACCTGGGTGTTAGTCGACTGGTGTGGGTTGCATCCTGGGAGACAAGATTAAGGACCCCAATGGAAATAAGTTAGACAGTCTTCGATGACACTGACTTTTTTGGGTTATCCTGGGTGGCAAATCCTCTGGGGTTAATTGTTTCTTGGTATTCTCAATAAGCCACACCAACAACGGTGCTACAGCAGCAGCAGCAGCAGCTGACGGTGGTACAGCAGCAACAGACGATGCTACAGCAGCAACAGACGATGCTACAGCAGCAGCAGACGATGCTACAGCAGCAACAGACGATGCTACAGCAGCAGCAGACGATGCTACAGCAGCAGCAGACGATGCTACAGCAGCAGCAGACGGTACAACAGCAGCAGCAGCTGACAGTGCAGCAGCAGCTGACGGTGGTACAGCAGCAGCTGTACCACCAATAGTAGCGATGGTTGATTGGGGTTTATTATACAACCAGGCCAGCTCGGAGACACGCACTCCACTTTCATACTTATTAATGATCTTTTTCTTCATCTCTATAGTAATTCTCACCCTTATTGCTGTAGGGTTGGCACTAGAAGCTTTCTTGGGGCCCATGGTCACTTATTTTCCAGAAAAAATCACCAAAAACACTGTAATAATACGAAATGTTCCGATTATATGCTTGGATGTTACCGCGGAGGCTGGCTGGTAAACAATGCCACCGGCGGAACATGTGAGCGTGGCTCAGGCCGCACATTGGACGCGTCTCGGACGAAGGGTGGTGAGCGGGTTCTTGGGCGGTATGCGAGGCAAAATTTTTGCGAAAAAAGCGAACAGTATGCGGACTGTACGGTATGCGATGCGTACGGTATGCGGGGGTTCACTGTAATTCCTACCTAAATATTAGTGCCTCAATTTTATATCCTAATGCATTTAAATGGCCTACCTATCATGCCAATCTAATGACTTATCTCTACACTGTTAAGTAGCAATTAAAAGAACCTACTTATGGCAATCTCCCACCTAAGCAGGGTGACCCAAAGAAGAAAACACATTGGCCATTCATTCAATTGCTGTCTTGCCAGAAGTGAGTCAACATAAAAGTTCTGATGAGTCGAACTGCAACATCAGACTGCTAGTACTACCATTCCCACCTCCAGAACTCTAAGTCTGGCTAACTGGTTTCCCCGTATCCCTTCACAAATGTTACTGTACCCACACTCAGCACATCCATTAAAAACCACTTGTCTCCACTCACTATCTAACATGCTCACACAAGCCTGTTGGATACTCAAGCTCCTAAAACTTGAAAGCCTCTGTTACATCTTCTATCCAACCACTCCTGGGACCACCCTTACCCCTTCTACCTTCCACTTTAGATTTATACACCCACCCTGTCATTATATCTCCCAGCCTCTCTTAACCCTTTCAGGGTCCAGAGGCCAAATTTCAAAGTGCACACCAGGGTCCAAGAATTTAAAAAAAAAAAAAATTTTATTTTTTTCTTATGAAATGGTAATCTTTTTCTGAAGGTAATAAAACAAAAAGTATGAAATTTGATGGAAAATTGACGAAATTATGTTCTCGCGAATTTTGATGTGTCAGCAATATTTACAAATCAGCAATTTTGCCGACTTTGACTCCCATTTCAGGCCAATTACATTATTCCAGTCGACCAAATTCTTAGCTATTTCACTAGTATTACTTCTATTCTATCGATTGAGCACAAGAAATCACCAAGTCAACAGTTTCAACTACAAAATAAAGTGACTGGAAATTGATAATTTGGCCAATTTAACTCGAAGTTCAAAATATTCCTATTTCAAAATAGGGTCCAGAATAAACAATGTAGGTATTCCTGGCACTAAACTAACATTTCCTCTGTTCATTAGTTATGTTTTGAGGCTTTACAAATGAATTCCATTTTGATATTTTATTCACATAATGAATTTTTATTAAAACCAAAAAATAGAAGATTTACTGTTAAGCAATATTGTAATAATTGTATAAATATCATCACCACATTTGTGAATGTATATTAGACCCACCAGCTGGCGTGTATTAGACGTGTGAGGTCGTTTGTTTACTTTTGAACATCGGCAAAAATTTAGAATTTCCGCTACTTTGAGCTCAGTTTCAAGCCATTTCCAGTGCTAAAACCAATGAAAATCATCTCTATTTCTGTAATATGTCTTCCATTCTATCAAATGAGACCTAGAAATCGCAAATACAACTCTAAAAAAAATATGAAAAAACATTGCAAATTCGCCGTTTTAACTGAAAATCATGGTCTCAGTTTTTTTTCTCTCATTATACACTGTGTGCTGCAGGATTTGTTTTATGTGGTGCACACATACCACATAGATGTATTCTCTCATATCTAGGCCCAAATTTACCACTCACAGCTTATCAGAGTGAGCTGAGCTCATGGCATAGATCTATGGTTTGGGCCCTGAACGTAAAGCCGTAGATCTACGGCATGGACCCTGAAAGGGTTAATACCCAAACCTTCTCAGCAACCTCTCCTCAGACATCTGAATTATACCTTTGGTGACCTCACAATGTCTTTTAACTGCTATACTCCAAACCCTCTGCATAATATTCATGTGACACACTGATTTCAAACATGACATCACTGCCTCTAGCTTCCTTCATGATGTAACACATGCCTCACACCCACACAAAAGCATTGGAACTACTATACTGTCATACATTCCCCTGTCTTGCCTCTATACATATATAGAAGGGCCCCACTTATTCGGCAGGTTAGTTTCCAGGCTACTGCCGGAAAGCAGACTTCGCCGGAAAGCAGAACTCCATTTTTTCCATTTATAAATGCAAATAAATGCCAGATAACAAGTTTACACTAACATATATTAAGTTAGCAACAGAACTAGGCATTAAAAAGTAAAATACACACACAGTACACTCATTATTTACCTCAAAATATTTGTAGTCTTAATGTAGGGCAAAAGGTGAGTAGTATTTACTCTAAAAAGTCAGGTGTGGCAGCCTTCCTGGCCACCCCACCCACACATACTGTGCAACGATGCTTAAAGCTCCCTAGAGCGATAAATTGCATATATAGTACACCCATTACTTACCTTAAAATATTATTAATGGTCTTAATGTAGGGTGAGAGGTTAAAAGTATTTATTTGTAGAAAGTCGTGTGGGAGGTATGGCATCCTGCCTGGCCACTTATACCTACTATGATATTAAGTATTCAGATATTTGGGAGTGGACGTGTCAGCGGATGGGTCTATGAAAGATGAGGTGAATCATAGAATTGATGAGGGGAAAAGGGTGAGTGGTGCACTTAGGAGTCTGTGGAGACAAAGAACTTTGTCCTTGGGGGCAAAGAGGGGAATGTATGAGAGTATAGTTTTACCAACGCTCTTATATGGGTGTGAAGCATGGGTGATGAATGTTGCAGCGAGGAGAAGGCTGGAGGCAGTGGAGATGTCATGTCTGAGGGCAATGTGTGGTGTGAATATAATGCAGAGAATTCGTAGTTTGGAAGTTAGGAGGAGGTGCAGGATTACCAAAACTGTTGTCCAGAGGGCTGAGGAAGGGTTGTTGAGGTGGTTCGGACATGTAGAAAGAATGGAGCGAAACAGAGTGACTTCAAGAGTGTATCAGTCTGTAGTGGAAGGAAGGCGGGGTAGGGGTCGGTCTAGGAAAGGTTGGAGGGAGGGGGTAAAGGAGGTTTTGTGTGCGAGGGGCTTGGACTTCCAGCAGGCATGCGTGAGCGTGTTTGATAGGAGTGAATGGAGACAAATGGTTTTTAATACTTGACGTGCTGTTGGAGTGTGAGCAAAGTAACATTTATGAAGGGGTTCAGGGAAACCAGCAGTCCGGACTTGAGTCCTGGAGATGGGAAGTACAGTGCCTGCACTCTGAAGGAGGGGTGTTAATGTTGCAGTTTAAAAACTGTAGTGTAAAGCACCCTTCTGGCAAGACAGTGATGGAGTGAATGATGGTGAAAGTTTTTCTTTTTCGGGCCACCCTGCCTTGGTGGGAATCAGCCAGTTTGATAATAAAAAAAAAATAAAAAAATAATATAGTACACTCATTAATTACCTTAAAATATCTGTAGTCTTAATGTAGGGTGAGAATTGAGTTTTATTTGTATGAAGTCAGGTTAGGAAGTATGGGTAGCCAGGAAGGGCAGCCCTCACCACCCCACCCACACATAATGTAAACAAACCAGAGGACCGCGTCTGGTTTTCATCACTTTACATTGTGTACAAGTTGTCTCCACATTGATGCAGTAGAACAAATGAAGAGAAACACTCCCATTCTCATGGAAGAAATGACACCCTGAGTGAAGGCATAAGAAAGTAATAATTTTCTAAGTACCCTCAGTAATATTATAGTGACACATTTTCTCTAAAGTTGGACTCTAAGTTGCCTGGCTACCACAAGTCCTACAAGTTGCCTGGCTACCACAAGTCCTACAAG